TTTTCTAATTTAATAAAAAATTTATTATTTTTTATTTTCTATGTGAATTATATGCAACTAAATTGTCAATATTATAGCAATAAGAATATCAACAAGTAAGATTTGCATGAACCAACTGCAGGCCACAGGCTCAAAACTAGCATGAGTTAAATGCAACTCACATGGCAGTTATAGTAGTAAACCTACACATTATACCAAGTTATGATTAATCCAACAAATATCAACTCTATTCAAGACTTTTGAAATAAGCCTTAAACATGATTTATTTGACACTAATAACCACAACATATAACTCACTAGTCAGTTATACTCCTATTTATTTTGAAATTATGAAGAGAAATCAGTTAGATTATATCTCTAATATTATAAGTAAATTATTTGAAAATAGAAATTGGAAAATGAAGCTGTCTATTGAGACTTTTTCATTTTTGATTCTTGAGTAAATGATTAAAACATTTAGCCTTTACTAAGCAGAAAATAAATTAGAAGCTTGTTGTCGTCAACATCTAGGCAGTATTATATTGCAATATTGCTCAGTGCTATGGAATGTGTGCTAAAAATTATATGCTAGAGACTCCGCTCTCTAGAAAGAAAAATTATATACTAGGTGGTGGAAGTTTATCCAATGTAAGATTTTCATTGAATTCATTTTCACAATAAATTGATTTCTTATGCTTAGGGTGCAGTATACAATTTTATAACCCGTTTTGAAGCAGTTCACATGTGTATTTCCTTCTTTAATTCTTGAATTTCAAGATAATGCCTTTAAGAAAGCATTGACATTTTAAACTGTCAAACTATGTAGACAACTAGTAGTTTTTTATTTTGCATTAAAAATTAGATTTAAAGAAAAAACATTGAACTTTTCTTCTACAGCTTCTTACCTCTCTCAGCCTTCATAGAATTGAAGAGCGTTTGGGCCTTGCTTTGGATTAGGCTTTGACTTAAGGGAGTGTTGTGGCTGATTTGATCTTCTATCCAGATAAATAAAACTTTCTTCATATCAGCAATAGGCTTTTTCACTTTCTCATCATTCATATGTTCACTGGAGTAGTGCTTTTAATTTCCTTTAACTTTTCCTTTGCATTCACAGCTTGGCTAATTGTTTGGCACAAGAAGTCTAGCTTTCTGCCTATCTCAGCTTTTGACGTATCTTCCTTACTAAGCTTAATGATTTCTAACTTTTTATTTAGAATGAGAGATGTGTAACTTTTCTTTTCAACTGAACAGAGGCCAGTTTTAGGGTTATTAATTGGCCTAATTTTATTATTGTGTCTCAGGGACTAGGGAAGCCTAAGGAGAGTGGGACTTATAGAGAGTTTCCAATAGTAATAGCGAAGATCACTGATCGCAGATCACCATAACAGATATAATAATAATGAAACCATTTGAAATATTGGAAGAATTCCTCATAAATATACAGAGACATGAAGTAAGCCCATTCTGTTCTAAAAATAGCACTGATAAACTTGCTTGATACAGGGTAACCACAAACCTTCAATTTTTGAAAGACCATACCTAGTGTCTACAAAGCACAATAAAGTGAAGCAAAGGCAATGGAATGGTGTGCCTGTATATCTTACTATAAATCATACTGAAGTCTCTAGTTAATCTCATTAACCTAACAATTTTTAAAAGTTGCATTCCAGTAACAGCAAATATACATTATTAAAAGACGTTTTCAATCTTTTCAGAATTCTCTTGTACATGTAGTTGATTCATAAGTAGATAGTATGTTAATTTCATAGAGGCTGGTGAGCTTTGGTAGAAAAGAGCAGCAAATTGGCTCAGACTTTCTATAGCAGTAGTAGAAATATCCAGTAGTCTGAGGTAAAGCTAAAATAAAAGAAACACTTATTTCTGACATAGTCTTTATAATTCTATATAGTGTTTTAAGTACCCTGCTTTACTTGAAAGACACAGTGATTTCTTTTAGTGTGACTTACTTAGTGGTGGTAGTATAATTAGATTGTTTGCATTTAATCGTATGCAGTTTTCTTTAAATGGAAAGATGGACTTAATATATTTAGTATTTATGCAGAAAAATGATTAAGTTCCAAAACTGGGATAATACATTGTTTAAGAATGTCCAAAGCGAGCTTTTCAAATAGGTCGATACTTGACTGTTTTTATTTTAGGACTCTTGTTACTCAATTTGATTCCCTCTCCTTCTTTTAAATATTCAGCAAGCCAGGGTAGCTTGGGTAAAGAAAAAGTAAAAACAAAAATGCAATATTCCTTTCTAGCAGCATTGTGAATGAGAATGCTAAAATTGATAATTACAAAGAGTTTTGAAGTATTGATTATGGATAGTTTTAATGAAATTCATGGTAAAGAAGACAAATTTTAGATAATTTAAATAATCAATTCAAATGAAAAATTTTTAATTTTGGCAGAACATTTTCTTGCTGATACTTCCCCTACTTTACTTTTAGGATATAATTGCATTGTTTCATTACTTTCTTGTGGACAATTTACTATATTAATGCTTCACATGATCTTGAGCCATGTTTGTCTCTCTCAGTAATGTTTCTCACTTACCAATTTTGCTGTTTATGGAAAGCCCAGTAGCTTGTTTTACAACACACTGTTTAAATTATTTGTGAAAAGGACTTTTCTCTGTACTTATAAATAGCAACTTTCACTTTGTATGCCTTACTTTGCAAATTTAGCAAGTATACTACACTCTGAATTTTTTTTTTTCCAGTGTACTCGTGTGATGTGGACACCACCTCTTCGTGAAAGCTTTTCATATCCATTCCTTGTACTTCAGATGTTGCTTGTGACTCATATTCTCAGGTAACTTTGCCTTGCTTTTAGGTGTTTTTTCTTTGTTTTTGCATCAAATAATTTATATTAGAATTTTTTGAGCTTTTACAATAAAAAAGTCAACAAAATAAAATAATTAATATAATCCTATTGTTAGGTTGAATTAATAAAGATGAGTATAAAAATATTTAGTACCCCAAACATTTCCTCCGTCTGCCTTTTGGTCCTCTTCCTTTTTCTTAGTGGTCAAGAGTTTCTGCTCAATGAGCAGCAAATCTAATTTCACTTCTGTCATTTCCACTTTCTCAAGTCTTCTGCTACTACTGTAGCCTCCTAAAAATGGGCAGAAAGAAGGGAAAGACTGCTTTTGCTAGAGTGTAGCCTGTTAGATATTAGTCCTTCAGAGGAAAGAGCCATTGTAATCAGGTGTATTAACACATGTAATTCTTCCTACATTTGTTTAGCATCCTGAGAATCAGGTAATAGGGGCAAAAAGAAACCACCTCAGTAGACCAAAGATATGCTAGGAGAATTCCTGCTAGAAATTCAAGATTAGATTAGGCTTTTGCACGTTCATCTGGCCTGCAGCTAAAGACCTAACAGAGATTCAAGCACCAAAAAGAGTAGGGTAGAGAACAATTCTCTCCTTTTTCTGTTGACAAATACTGAGTTTAGACAGATGCTGCCTTGCTCCAGGGGGTAAAAATAAAACAAAATGAGGCCTGTGGAAAAATAGAACAAAGCATGATGAAAATCTGAAGATGACTCACACTAAGAACTCCCTTCAGTGATCTGCAGATTCAGAAGAACCTTGTTGAAGTCTCTTATGCCAAACCCTTGGGTGATCCATTTCCCTCTGTGATTATCTCAGCAGGCCCAGAGCCATTGTACCTTTCAGTTTCCTATGCAGTAGTGTCTTTAAGCAGACCTTTTACAGAAGGCGGGATGGGTAGTGGTTTTTTGCATTGGCTTTTTAAAGTTCGTGCAACTCCAACCTTATTGCTGTCCACTAAACTCCTCTTTTTAGGAGTTCAAAGCATCTTTAGCACCTTTAAATGAGGTGAATTCATAACCTTTAACTCTGCCTTGCTGGTTCTGGGGCACTTTAAGAGACATTCCCTTCTCAAACATCTCTGGAAGAAGTATTGTACTATAAGAGAGTCTTTGATTCACCACTGCACATTCTGTTTTTCCACATCCGCATAACTGATATTGGCTTTTTCCCTTCAGTACGGTGCAGACAGTGGACTGCCCATCAGTCTCAATAACTGCTTTTCTTCCACCTTTGCTCATTTCTTAAATCCACTGCAGGGGAACCTTTGGTTCTCCTCACATTCACTGATCTGATCTGACCTGAGTAGCTGTGGGCAGTGCTGCCCCAGGTGCTGAGCACTGCTTCATTCAACCCGTCATACTGTAGAAGGCTGTGCTAGTTTCCTACTGCTGTGATAACCAATCACCACAAACTAAGGTTTGTTATGTTACAGTTCCATAGGTCTGAGGTCCTGAAGTTAAGTTGTTGGCAGGGCTGCACTCATCCTAGAGGCTCTGGGGAAAAATCAGTGTTCTTGCCTTTTCCAGCTTCTAGAGGCTGCTGCTTTTCTTGGCTCATGGCCCCTTTTTCCATCTTCAGTGCCAGCAATGGCAGATTGAATCCTTTTTCATCAATTCACTACAACTTTCTCTTCTGCCCCTCTTCCACTTTTAAGGACCTTTGTAATTATAGTGGGCCCACCTGGATAATCCAGGATACTGTCCCTATCTTAAAGCCAGGTGATAGGTGATCTAAATTCCATCTGTAGCCTTAGTTCCCCTTTGCCACGCAACATGACATATTCACAGATTCCAGGGATTTTGGAGGCTGTTATTCTGCCCACCACTGTGGAGTTGCTCCAGTTGCTGTTTCCTACCTTCAGGGGCTGCTTTCTTTTGGATTCTTCTGTTTTTATCTCCAGGTGCCTCTGTGGCAAGCTCTTTATGTTTTCTTCAGCCTCATAATCAGTGTCATTTTCAGCCTCATCCACCTCGTCATTTCTGTGTTAACTGGTTTTGCTGAAAAGTTTTAAGGGACTTCCTTTTCTTTAGAGTCTTCTTCATTCTCTCTGTTTACATTCTGGTTGACATTTTCCCTCTCGTATCCCTGCCCATCTGAAGCGAGAGCAGCAGCTGTCATATTCTCTGTCATATTGATCTTCTTCACCATCTTCACTGGCACCTCATCACTTCTGATTAGGGCAGCTTTCCTGTTTTAGTTTCTTGGTTGGCACAGCTCCCTTCTTGCCTGGTGTGGCTGTGCTGTGGTGGCTGGTGTGACTGGTTATTTGGAAGTGTGTTGGCTGCTTTCATTTTGCGTGGGGTGACAGCTGCTTTCTTGGAAGCTGCAGTCTTTTTAGCAGGGAAACCATATCCTCCTTTCCTAGAGTGTGGCAGACTTCTTGCCTTTGTTCTGAAGGATAACAGTCTCTTCACTGTTGCTCATCTGCATCTTCTGATATTTCATTCTTCTTACTGATATCTGTCTCCTTTGGAAGAGTAGCCATATCCTCTATTTTTTAGTTCCACTTGTAGTTGATACCTCATGATATGAGAGGGAGGCGGTGGGTGAATGGCTTGGGTGAGCCAAGAAGCTGCTGACCAGTGTTGATGCAGGCTGCAGAGCTGAGAATATGGCTGTAAAACTGGAAAAAGAACAAATCCTGAATGCTAGGAATTACTTATATGTAACGTTAGCAGTATATTTTATTTTGAAAAATTGGTTATGTCCAGTTTTAAATTTTAAGTATTTTTCGAAGTTCAGTTTTATGTAAATTATATCAGCATAGTCTTAGCTTTTTCTTGATTGTTCTTGGCAATATTTATGTTTCTATTTTTGATACCTCTGATCAGTGCTATATTGATCACCAGTTCGAATTTCTTTGTTTTCTATTTGTTTCTGTCTCCTCCCAGTGCATTCTGTACCCAACAGATTAGTATTAAATTATCAGAAATCTTTAATGTCTTCTGTTACCCATAAAATGAAAATCATTTTTATCATTCAAAAGCTGTGAGAAATATTTTATTTAGACAGAAGCTTTCAAACTTTTTGGATGTAATCTATAAAAAATAAGACATTTTACATTGTGCCCTAATATACACATGCATGTGTGCACACAACTGAAACAAAAATTTCACAGAATGGAACTCTTATTAAGAAAGATGCAGTTTTCTATATTCTATTTCAGTCTACTTTTCTCCATTAAAAAATGCTGGGTTTTTATCTAGTAAATTGGTTTCATATCTCATTAATAGGTTACCTGGAGTTTAGAAATACCCTTGTTGGACTAGAGTAGCAGAAAAGGATGTCCTTTGGAGAAGGGCTACTTGAGGAAGTGAGCATGGGAGTTTGATGGTGGATGCTCAGTGCCCCTATAGGTTTATCTAACCAGGAATTCTTTACTCTGTCCAAGCTGCATATCTTGCCCCCTCAATGTATTGACATGCACATTCTACTTCTGTGAAGACGTTAGACATGTGTTTGGGAGCTTTACATTGGCTCACAGATTTAGAAGAAAAGATATAATCACCTCACCCTTGTAAAAAATCTCCTAAATTATAAGTCAGTACCAAAGTGAAGGTTCTGAAGGTGGCTCCAGAATGGCCCCCATACTTTGCCTCATCTTCATTTTTCAGTGTCTCACCTGTGCAAAACCCAGTGTGTATCATATCCTCAGAAAGTCTCTTTCAGCTGCTCAGCCCTTCTGCATTCTTGCAGTACTTGTCTCCATAATATTACTACTTGGCACTTAGAATATGCTACTTTCTGTCACGTTTTCATAGACGTATCTGCCTTTCCAACTAATGAATCTATTGAATCAGCATATATTATTTTAAAAATTTTAAATTCACAAAATATAATTTGAAAAAAATTCAATGGATACTTACTGACCCAGCCACCCTCCTCTTTGACAGGCTCTGTGTTTTTACAGTAGTAATGGAATGGGTATTTACTTTTCACAGAAAATTGTTGTAATTGAGTGTCAGTATAATTTCTAACTCATTGGTTCATTGTGTATTTAGGTTATAACCAGATCATGCTTAGAGATTCTAATGTGTAACAGTTTGGAACCATGATAGACTATTTTGTGGTAAACTTGCTGATATTTATTTTATCTTTTCAAGGGCTACAAAACTTTATAGAGGAAGCTTGATTGCACTCTGCATTTCCAATGTATTTTTCATGCTTCCATGGCAGTTTGCTCAGTTTGTACTTCTTACTCAGGTGAGTTGATTATATTTTTAAACTGGTTTAAACTTAACATGTTTGATTATCCAAACTCACTTGTATAAAATTATAACTGAGATGTTATATGATTCTAAGTGCTAAAATATTTTCTAGTTCATGTTTCTAATGAAAGCTCAGGGTAGGGAAATAAGTAAAATGTATTAATGATTATTATTTTCTTGCTAATAGACTACAATAATGAACTCAGATTTTTAAGAATGCTATCTTTGTTTTTCAGCATTTGTTAGCGTGCTTAAAAGAGGACTTGTGCTATACCTTTAAGTCTTTATCTTAAATAAACTGTAGTATTTCTCTTAAGTCAAATGTGTCATTTATGAATATTCTTACATGAAGGATAAATATACACAGGATTATAGGAATGATAACTAACTAGTTCTAACTCCCCCTACTAGTCTGCAATTTACCTGTTATCTTTCCATGTAACTCTTGCCTCCCTTCAAATGGAAGTACATAAAGCAAAGTTGAGAAAGTGAGTAAATTGTGTGTTCATTTTCCCCTCTCGTTTTTTTTAAAATTATGTTGACCATATTGGTACAAAGCAATTGCAGAGTTTCTTTTTAATATTCTTTGGAATATCTTGCTTGGGAGATGAAGTTAGACCTGGATTTGAGTCCTAATTTTATTCACTAGCTTCTTGACTTGGAGAAAACGGTCATTTCTGAAATTGAGAAAATAAAAGAACCTACTTTATTGGGATGTGTTTAAGATCAGATGAGGTAATATATATAAGACTCTTAACACAGTACCCAGTACTTAGTGAGATATCACTGAAGTTAGGTATTTTTATTATTATTTTTGAAAAATGGGCTTTATTTACACTTATTTCTTCCTTTGATCTTCTCTTTTAGACTCCTTTATCTAGTTTAGTTTGATAACATTTTAAATCGGTTTCTGGTTTAAATTGTTACTGAGATTCTCTTTTTGAGATCCTAACTTATAAATTTGCTGTGTATTGCTTAGCCCTTGGGGTGGAAAGGGAGCATTCCCATTGCTTCCAGTTAGTGGAGATGGCCTGCTTTTGGGGGTAGGGGAGGTATTATGACTCTCTGTGGGGTTTATGTTGAATAACAGCATGTATTTCCCCACAGTAACTGTGTCATATCAATCACCCTTAAGCAATATAGTGGTCCCCACAGGTTACTCTGAATAAAGGGAAACCTTGTTGTTTATCTTACTAATGGGAAAATTGGTTGTAGATTGCTTGGAGATAAAAAACTTGATGAATGGAACTTAAGTTATGTATTTAAGTATTAAGCTCTTTTGCAGTTTGTTTATGCTATGTTTGTGTAGCAGGAGAGGCACAGAATTTAATTTAAATTGCTTTCTTCATGAAGAAGGGTGAAGAGGTATTGTCTGATATAATACCTCTATGTAAGAGTTACTCTATCATTATTTAACCAATTAATTCATCTAAATAATTCCAATATTCTTAGAATTCTTGACATATAACATTTAATTTTCTTTAAAGTGGAAAACTAAAAATACCTTTGCAGTGAAAGTACTCCTTCTAATTTGAAATTTGATAAATTTGATTATAATTAATGCTTGAATATTGTATTAATGAAAGAGAACACTAATGGAGATACTTGTAAAGAGTGACTAACAAGCAGAAATTAATATGTATTTTTATGCACACATGCATTGCATAATTATTTTTGAATTTAATGTATCTTCCCAATTATGTATTAGTTGTCATGTTATAATTACATTTTCATATTTTTTGATTGGACAAGGCACTTTCTAATTGTTCATATTGACATCAGCCTAATTAGAATGAGTATTGTTTTGGATAATCCACAAAGTAGACAATTCACATGGATGAGAGAGCTGTGTATAGGAGTAAAAAAATCAACCAATATTGCTTCTATTAATATATTGACCATATTCAAGAATAAATTGGCAGGTAAAAGGAAAACTAAAGAACTCACTTTCTGTATAAATATAAAACAATTTGAAACAACAATAAACACAGTCTTTTCTTCATTCTTATAGTTATCAATTTCCTATGTTTTTTTATTTTTAACTTAATTTCTTTTTAAATTTCAGATTGCATCATTATTTGCAGTATATGTCGTGGGATACATTGATATATGTAAATTACAGAAGATCATTTATATACACATGGTATGATTATTTTATTGTTTTCTATTTCATTTGTCCTTAAACTCCTGATTAATATTTAATTTGTTCTCGGTTGAAACTAGTTGTAACATGATTTCATAACAAAAACAAGTGTCATTCAAACACTGTGATATAATCAATAGAATAAGCCACCCAGAAAATTAATTATTTTAATTTGGGTCATATTATCTGATTGCGGTCATACCCAACTTATGCATTATGGATAAAAGAAAGAATTCATGAAAGAGGAACATGTACTGGCATATTATCCAGGAGGCAGGAGTTAAAATGCAGTGGATGATCCACTGAGCTCCAACTATCCAGTGAGTGGGACATACCAGTGACTAGAACTATGGAGACCACAGCATTCATGTTGCTTACTTTCTAATAGAGTTGGAGAAGGAGGGAAGACAGAAGATAAGTAAAGAACATAGTAAATGGGTAAATGATGTAGTATGTTAGAAGGTAATAAGGATTATTTTTATAGAAGAAAGAAAAGAACAGTCAGGGTTAAAACAGATCAGGAGCACCAACACCAGTGGGTGGGATCAAGGTATGAGATACGGCAGTCAGGGCAGGTCTTATTGAGTAGGGGGAGTGGAGCAAAGATTAGAAGGAGAAGAGAAAGTTGGTCTAGTGGATATCAAAGAAAAAAATATTATAGGAACAGTTAGAGCAAAGGCCTTAGGCTGGTTTGTTGATGTTGGTGAATATTTATGTTTTAAAAACACTTGTCTTCTCTCTCTCATTAATTTTTATAATTTTGATGTTTTCTTTTTCTGTTGTTATAATATGCCGTTATTACCTTTTATTCTCTAATAAGTGATACATATAAGGGGACATTTATAATGTATAGGGAAATTATGTACGGTTATAAAATAAACAGCCACGAGCCTACCCACCAGGTGAAAAATAGAACCTTATCATTACTTTGAAATCCTGTGTGCCCTGAGGTCATCCCCTTACTGCTCCAAGAGGTAAACACTATCCTGACTTTTTAAGTAGCAATTGACTTGCTTTTCTGTATAATTTTACCATATATATGTATTCCTAAATAACATAGTTCTATTATTAAATATTCACATTGTTTTTAAGTTTTGTATAAATGGTATCCTTTTATGGGGCTTATTTTTTCACACAGGTTTCTGAAATTTGTAATTTAATAGAGTTCAGATATTTTCACTGCTTTATATTTTCCATTGTATAAATAAAGCTCAATTTATTCATTTCTTTTCTTGTTGAAGGACATTTAGGCTCTTTCCTCTCTCCTCCCACCCTCCTTTTTCAGTTATAAATAATGCTGTACATTCTTAGTCATATCTCCTAGGGCATATATGTTAAAGAGTTTCTCTAGAGTATTTACCTAGTAGTAGACTTTCTGGGTGGTAAATTATACACAGGTTCAACTTCGTAAATACCAAATCATTTTGCCAAAATGATTCTACTACTTCAAATAGCAATATGTATAATAGCTCATGTTATTCTACATACTTTTTTATTTTATCAATATGGTTAGTATAAAATGGTATCTTACAACCTTAATTTGCATTTTTTCTGATCCTCAGTGAAGCTAAGTGTCTTTTGGTTTGTCTGTGAGCCCTTTGTGTGTGTGAGTGAGTGTGTGACATTCCTATTCAAATCTTTGACCAGATTTTTCCATGTCCAAGAGGAAGTGACATATTTTATTCAGTGCAGTATAATCCATTTTTTTCGTTATTTATGTTGATGCTCAAATAGTTCCAGATTTGTCCAGCTATTCAAGCTGGCTTCTCTATCCTTTTAATATGTCATTCCCATCATGCTTTGAGCACTTTTCCTTTAAAGGAAATTAATACATGTTAAGTTTCATGAAATGCTTTTCTACATCTGTTTAAGTGATTCTTTGTATTTTCCTCTCTTTAATCTGTTACTGTGGTGAATTAACATTAATTGATTTTCTAACAGTAAAAACCATGCTTTTTTGGGATAAACACAAGTTTTACATATTGCCAGATTCAGTTTGCTATTATTTTGTTAGACTTTTTACATCTCTGTTTATAAATGAGTTCAACGGTAATTATCTTTTTTTGTTTCTTTTTTATTTCAGCGTATTGCAGGGGTACAGATGTTTAGGTTACATATATTGCCTTTGCCCCACCCAAGTCAGAGCTTCAAGCATGTCCATCCCCCAGACAGTGCACACCACTCCCATTAGGTGGGAATATACCCATCCCCACCTCCCCACTCCCATCTTCCTGACACCCAATGAATGTTATTATCTTTTTTTACACTTGGCTTATTTTTTCCCACATTGTTTAATATAGATTTTTATTTTATAGTACAAATCAGATTAAAATGTTAAGCATTCTGAGTTGGCTATTCACGTAGTCTCACAGGCAACTGTGGCTGAGGACTTTGACTCAAAGTTATAATCTATAGAGTACTGAAATTACACAGGTATAGTTTGTGGTAGAACCTATATTGGGTAAATGATATATACTCTATTATGTGACATGTTATCTATTCTGTCTTCTATTATCACTTTATAAATTCCTGAATTTTTATAGTATAAATATTTATAGAAAAAATATATAAAATTGTTTCTAGAAAAGATATTTTCTATTTTTTGTGATAAAATATACATAACATAAAATTTCTCATGTTAGGCATTTTTAAGTGCACAGTTCAGTGGTATTAAGTACATTCATATTGTTTTGCAGCCATTATCTTCTCATCTTGCAAAACTGAAACTCTATGCCCATTAAATAATAACTCCTTATTCTCCCATCTCCCCAGCCCCTGGAAACCACCATTCTACTTTCTGTCTTTATGATTTTGACTACCTTTTGTACATCATGTAAGTGAAATCATATAGTACTTATCTTTTTGTGACTGGCTTATTTCACTTAGCATAATGTCCTTCAAGTTTCTTCCATGTTGAAGCATGTGTCAGAATTTCCTTCTTTTTTAAGGCTACATAATATTCCATTGTGTATATGTTTGTGTACTACATTTTGCTTATCCATTCATCTGTCCATGGATACTTGAGTTGCTCCCACATTTTAGCTACAGTAAATAATACTGCTATGAACATGGGTATACAGATATCTCATTGAGACTTTGCTTTCAGTTCTTTTGGTTATGTATCCAGAAGTGGAATTGCTGGATTGATCATGTGGTAAATCTATTTTTAATTTTTTTAGGAACTGCCAAAATGCAGCTTCTCATAGCAGCTGTACCATTTACATTTCCACCAATAGTGCACAAGGGTTCCCGTTTCTCTGTGTAATCACCAACATTTATTTTCCCTTTTTGTGATTGTAGCCATCCTAAAGGGTATAAGGTGGTGCCTCATTGTGTTTTTTCTTATATTCTTTTAATTAAAAAAACATTATTTTTTAGAGATATTTTAGGTTAATAGAAAAATTGAGCAGAAAGTACAGAGAGTTCCCATATACCCCTTGACCCCGCTTGTGCACAATCTCTCCCACTATTGACATTCCATACCAGAATGGTACATTTGTTACAATTTATTAAACTTACACATCATAATCAGAATCACTGATTATGATGTGTAAGTTTAATAAATTGAAATTGGCACATCATAATCACCCAAAGTCCACAGTTTATGTTAGGGTTCAATCTTGGTGTTGTACATTCTTTGGGTTTTGACAAATGTATAATGACATGTATTCACCATTGTAGTGTCATATAGAGTAGTTTCACTGCTACTAATAGTCCTGTGCACTCTGCCTATTCATGCCTTCCCTCCATCCCACACCTGTGTAAATGCTGACTTTTTTTTTTTACCGTCCCTATAGTTTTGCGTTTTGCAGAGTGTCATATATTTGGAGTTGTATAGTATGTAGCCTTTTCAGATTGGCTTCTTTCACTTAGTAAAATGCAGTTAAGTTTCTTCCAGATCTTTTTCATGGCTTGATAGCTCATTTCTTTATAGTGCTGAGTAATGTTTTGGTTTTGTGGATGTACCACTGTTCATTCATTCACCTACTGAATAGAACGTTGGTTATTTCCAAGTGTGGGCAATTATGAATAAAGCTGCTATAAGCATCTGTGTGTAGGTTTTTGTGTGGATATAAGTTTTCAGTTCATTTGGGTAAAAGGAAAGTGATTGTTGGATGGTGTGGTAAGAGTATGTTTAGTTTTTATGAAATTACCAAACTGTCTTCCAAAGTGACTGTACCATTTTGCATTTCCACCAGCGAAGAATGAGAGTTCTTGCTGCTCCACATTCTTGTCAGCACTTTGTGGTGTAAGTATTCAGATTGTGGCCATTCTAATAGATGTATGGTGGTTTCTCATTATTTTAATTTGGTTGAACATCTTTTCATATGCTTACCTGCCATCGATGTATCTTCTTAGATGAGATGTTTGTTAAGGTCTTTTGCCCATTTTTTCATTGAGATGATCATTTTCTTATTGTTGAGTTTTAAGAATTCTTTGTATATTTTGGATAACAGTCCTTTATCAGGTGTCTTTTGCAAATATCTTCTCTCAGTCTGTGGCTTGTCTTCTATTGACATTGTCTTTTGCAGAGCAGAAGTTTTTGATTTTAATTAAATACAGCTTATCAATTGTTTCTTTCATGGATTGCACCTGTGGTTGTGTATCTAAGAAGTCATCACCATACCTGAGATCATCTAGGTTTCCTTTTGTCTTATCTTCTAGGAGTTTCGTATTTTTGTGATGTACATTTATAAAGATCTATGGTCTGTTTTGAGTTAATTTTTGTGAAGGCTGTAAGGTCTGTATCTAGATTTATTTTTTTGTATGTGGATGCCCAGTTGTTCCAGCAGTGTTTGTTGAAAAGACTGTCTTTGCTCCACTGCATTGTCTATGTTCCTTTGTCAAAGATCAGTTGCCTGTATTTATGTGGGTTTATTTCTGGGCTCTGTATTTTGTTCCATTGATCTATTTGTCTTTTCTTTCACCAGTACCACCCTATCTTGATTATAGTAAGTCATGAAGTAAAGTATTGTCAGTCCTCTGACTTTGTTCTTCTTCAATATTGTGTTGGCTACACTGGGTCTTTTTCATCTCCATATAAACTTTAGAATCAGTTTGTCAATATCCACAAAATAACTTGTCAGGATAATGATTGAGATTGTGTCGAATCTGTAGATTAATTTGGGAAGAACTGACATCTTGACAATATTGAATCTTTCTGTGCATACATAGAATAACTCTCCATTTACTTATTTCTTCATTGATTACTTCTATTCAAGTTTTATAGTTTTCCTCATATAGATCATATACATACTTTATTAAATTTGTACCTAAATATTTCATTCCAGGAATGCAAGAATGTTTTGACCTTAGAAATTCTTTTAATATAATTTATCACACTAAGAGATTTAAAGGCCAGGTATTATGGCTCATGCCTCTAGTCCTTGGGCTTTGAGAGGCCAAGGTGGCAGGATTGCTTGAGGCCAGGAGTTTGAGACCAGTCTGAGCACCATCATGAGACCCCATCTCTACAAGAAAAATTAGAAAAACAATTAGCTGGGTGTAGTGGCATGTGCCTGTAGTCCCAGCTACTTGAGAGACTAAGGGATGAGGATCGCTTGAGCCCAGGAGCTTGAGGTTACAGTGAGCTATGATCCTGCCACTGCACTCCAAGCCTAGGCAACAGAGCCAGACCCTGCCTCTTAAAAAAAATGATTGAAAGAAAAATCAACAATATGATCATTTCCTTTGATGTTATAAATATATTTAATAAAAGTCAACATCTTTGTCTGATTTTTAAGACCTTAAGTAAAAATAGATGTGATTCCCAATTCTGGGAGCCACTTAAATCCAAGTGGGTCCTTGGCTTCAGGCAAAAAAGAATTCAGGAGCCAGCTGACAGTGTAAAGTGAAAGCAAGGTTTATTCTGAACCTATACAAAGTGTATTCCACAGACAGAGCAGAGGTCAGTTCTCTCTGCAGAACATAACCAGCCCCCCGGTTCCTGTTGCCCTTATATTTAAGCAACACCTTAAATTTTAGGCCAAACAAGGGGAGGAATATTCATGTTATTTCTACGATACTTCATGTTATTTCTACGAAACGGTGATGTTTTTCTGGAATTAGGGTAATGACCTACTTTTGACTACATATGGTCAAACAGGAAGGGTCCTGGTATCAGATGCATAATGGGAGTGGGAGGTTTTCTTAGAAACTTTTATGGTAATAAAGTGTATCATTAAGCTGTAAGGTCCAGAGGTGGTCAATTTCTTCACCATCTTGGTTCTAACCAGTTGGAACTTGCCCTGCCTCCATCCTATTTTGATCAGGGTAGTTCAATGCCTGCACAATTAATCAATGCCCAAAGCAATACCCAAAGCAGTGCCCAAAGCAATACCCAAAGCAGTGCCCAAAGCAATACCCAAAGCAGTGCCCAAACCAGTGCCTAAATCAGTGTATGCCAGTTTCCTGTCGATGGATATCGATGGATATTTCCTTGAAAATTTAAATATATAGACATACCTCAAACCAAAAGCTAGGATCATACAAAATGATGAAGCAGTTGAACTATTCTTGTTAATACCAGAAGCATGACAAATATACCTACTGCCACTCTTATTAATTGTTACAGAAATATTAACTAATATAATTTATTTAAAAATAAGAGTTTCAAAAATAGGAAAGGAAGATATAAAAGTATCATTATTTACAGGTGATTTTGAATTCTTGAAAAATCTGAATTAATAACGTACTAGAAACAATGAAAGATTGTATTAATTTATGCATATTTAGTATAAATTTTCTAAATACATGTAATCATCAGTTAGGAAATATGAAAAAATATTCCTGATACAATAGCAACAGAAATAATAGACTTTAAAATAAACTTAAGTAATATGAAGGTTCTATATGAAGAAAGCATTATACTCACTAATGTATGTAAAAGAAGACTTAAAGGAATGGAAGCAACATGTATTGCTTTTGGATGTAAAGATTCAATATTGGACAGATATAACTATAAATGTGCAATACTGAATAAAGTTTTAAATAAAAATTTCAGTTTTTGAAACTTAATAGACTGATTCTAAAATTCAGATGGAAATTGCTATATATGGATCAAAAATAAAACTTCTAGAAGAAAATGTGGATTATTTTAGTGTCAAGGCTTTTCTAATTATGTAGATAAATCCTGAGGACCTAAAGGAAATGAATAATAAATTTAATAACAAAGATTTAGAAAATAACCAGGATAAAAAAATACCTCTAAGACCAGAGAAGACCCTGTATAGCAAAAGCAATCCTAGGCAATAAAAACAAAATGGGAGGTATCAATTTACCAGACTTCAACCTATACTACAAGGCTATAGTAATTAAAACATCTTGTGACTGGCACAAGAACAGGGACATTGACCAGCAGAACAGAGAACCCAGATATAAAACCATCCTCATACAGCCAACTAATCTTCGACAAAGCAGACAAAAACATACGCTGGGGAAAAGAATCTTTATTCAATACATGGTGCTGGGAAAATTAGATAGCCACATTAGAAGACTGAAATAGGATCCACACCTTTCACCTCTCACAAAAATCAACTCACTCTGAGTAACAGATTTAAACCTAATGTGTGAAACTATTAGAATTCTAGAGGAAAATGTTGGAAATACTTTTCTAGACGTTGGCCTAGGCAAAGAATTTATGAAGAAGACCCCCAGTGGCAATCACAGCAACAACAAAAATAAATAAATGGGACCTGATCAAATTAAAAAGCTTCTGCACAGCCAAAGAAACTGTCATTAGAGCAAACAGACAACCTACAGAATGGGAGAATATTTTCACATCCTACACATCTGATAAAGGGCAGATAACTAGAATCTATTTAGAACTCAGGAAAATCAGCAAGAAAAAAAATCAAACAACCATGTCAAAAAGTGGGCAAAGGACATGAACAGAAATTTTTCAAAAGAAGACAGAATAATGGCCAACAAACATATGAAAAAATGCTCAACATCTCTAATCAGGGAAATGCAAATCAAAACCACAATGAGATATCACATATCTCCAGTGAGAATGGAGTCCCAAAATAATAAGTGTTGGCATGGATGCAGAGAGATAGAAACACTCCTACACTGCTGGTGGGACTGCAATAGTGCAACCTCTGTGGAAAGCAATATGGAGACACCTTAAAGCGACACATGAGGATCTACCATTTGATCCAGCAATCCCATTACTGGGCATCTACCCAAAAGAACAAAAGACACTCTATAAAAAAGACATCTACACTCCAATGTTTACAGCAGCACAATTCACAATTGCAAAGCTCTGGAAACACCCCAAGTGCCCATCAATCCATGAGTGGATTAATAAAATGTGGCATATGTATACCACAGAGTACTATTCAGCTATAAGAAACAATGGTGATATAGCATCTCTTGTATTTTCCCAGATAGAGCTGGAACCCATTCTACTAAGTGAAGTATCCCAAGAATGGAAAAATAAGCACCATATGTACCCACCAGCAAATTGGTATTAACTGATCAACACCTAGGTGGACATATAGGAATAACATTTATCAGACATCAGGTGGATGGGAGGGGGGAAGGGAAGGGAATGGGTATATACATACATAATGAGTGCGATGGGCACCATCTGGGGGATGGACACACTTATTCGGGGGGGGGTGAGTGAGAGGGGAAGGCAACACACGTAACCTAAACATTTGTATACCCATAATATGCTAAAATAAATAAATAAAAATAATTTTAAAAATACCACTAAGATAAAATATGAACTGGGAAAACATTTACAATATGTATGTTTGATAAGGAGCTATGTTCTATAATATGTATAGATCTTAAGGAAAAGAGAGCTCTCAAAACCCGATAGAGACTCACACCTATAATCCTAGCTCTCTGGGAAGCTGAGGCGGGCGGATTGCTCAAGGTCAGGAGTTCGAAACCAGCCTGAGCAAGAGCGAGACCCTGTCTCTACTATAAATAGAAAGAAATTAATTGGCCAACTAATATATAGAGAAAAAATTAGCCAGGCATGGTGGTGCATGCCTGTAGTCCCAGCTACTCGGGAGGCTGAGGCAGAAGGATTGCTTGAGCCCAGGAGTTTGAGGTTGCTGTGAGCTAGGCTGACACCACAGCACTCACTCTAGCCTGGGCAACAAAGTGAAACTCTGTCTCAAAAAAAAAAAAAAAACCCGATAGAGAAATGGACATAGGAATAAACAATTTCTATACACACACAAAATAACATAAGTAGCAAATAGAAGAAGAGATGCTGTGTCTCATATACTATTAAAATAATGGAAAAGTGAAACGAGGTAACATTTTTTCCCTATTAAATTGGCAAATATTTAAAAGAATAATACACGGTGTTGACAGATGTGCATCAACACGAACTGTCATGCCTTGTTGGGAGAGTAAATTAGTATAATCTTTTTGTAGGGCAATTTCTCAGTATTTTTCCTAATTGTAAAATTTGTACATCCTTGATCTATCAATTCCACTTCTAGTAATTTATCCATTGACATGTACATGAGATGTACACATAGGGATGTTTATCATAGCAGTGTTTGTAGTAGGAAGAACATAACAAAATAGAACTGGAAAGCACTTAGGTATTCAGCAATACCCAGAGGACCTATTAAAGAATTATGGTGCATCTATAAAATAGAATGCTTTTTTTACTTCTTAAACAGAATGACTTAGATCGGTTTGGATTGTTATGAAAAGCTCTCTGAAATATATTAAGAATAGAAGCAAGAAATAGTAGAGTTCATGGGGTAAGTTTCCATTTAAAAAATATAAACTAAAATTTATACATTTTAATGTCTGGAAGGATGCACAGGAAACTTGATGGTGGTTATGTCTGGGGTTTGAAGTGTGCGATGGAGAATGGACTATTTTCATTGTATATTCCCTTTTGGATGGTTTGAATTTTGTTTATCATGGGCATGTGCAGTTTATACCATAAAAATCAATGTTTTTTGTTTTATTTGTATTAATTATGTTTTTTCTTGGATTTTTGCAGATTTCTCTTGCACTTTGTTTTGTTTTGATGTTTGGGAACTCAATGTTAATAACTTCTTATTATGCTTCCTCTTTGGTAATTATTTGGGTAAGTGTTCCTTAAACATGGTTGTTTTTGACTATTAATAATAGTTTATCAGTTTTTCACTAGCTTTGGGTTCATGTGGGGTTTCTACAGGAATCATCTCAGGTGTCTTACTGAATATATCTCTGTGGCAGTGTTCAAGTACTCACTTCTAAAACAGGAAACAAACACACTGAAAAGTTAGTATCAGAAAGCACAGCACTTTGTCTCCTAGCCCTAATGTGCCCTTTCTCTTTCTTCAGCTTCTGTCACCTAAGTTTTGGTCCCAGGGTTCCTTTCAGAAAGATTTCTGTCTTTTCTTCTCTGGTTCCCTTTTCTGTTTTTTATCTTATTTCTGCTCTACCTTCAGAACCCCTTTCCTCCCACTGACATCTCCTGGCAGCTCCCCTCTTCGTTCCATTGTGATCAGAGGCTTGAGACCTCAGTTACTTAGGGGTTTTTTCCATCCATTATCTATTTGTAAGGAATATTCAGGTGGTTCAAGTCAGGTGATGATTAAAGTATATTTTGCTAAATCAGTATGAAGACCAGCTTTAGATTGTGGGGAGACTGTCTTACAGAGTTAGAACAAATGGTGAAAGGTTTTCTAATTTCTTCTGTCATTTTTGTCAAAATGATTTTCTAAATATAAAAAGTTTTGTTAAATGTAAAGACTTCCAGAGGTGGTTATGCCTTTTTAAATGGGTGTCACCATTACAATGCTTGCAAACCTAAGTTACTCCTTAGATTTAAACTGCATGTGTGATAGTATAGGCCAGTTTCCTGAAGACAAATGCATGTTGCACTGTCTTAATTGAGATGTATTCTACTTCTTGAGTTGTCATATAGGTTACTCAAATCATTTTGGCTTTCTTGATTTCTAGAACCCATTAACAAATTTGGAAATTCCTATTTCTTTGTCTCATTTTACAAATAATATTTATTTAAGAACTCATGTTTTAAGAATATGTCTCTTCCCAATCCAGGCCACCACCCTTTTCAGGTTGTGTGCCTCAAGTAAAAACTTAGTCACAGACATGAGTAGTTAGCATGTGATGATACTGTGTTTTCAACAACAAAAATCATTAACTGAGTTGTTCTACTTTGGGATTAATACATATTGTTCTTAAAGTCAAAATCAGTATGCTTTGTAATTAGGAAAGGTGACAGTGCACTCAATTCTATATTTTACATGTGTACTTTGGTAAGTACTGCTATTACCCAGGATGAAGTATATGACTTTTGGTAAGTGTGTACAGGGAAGCTATTGAATTGAATTTGCATATGAATAAAATCTAAGTACACTTTGTAAGAATTTTTTCTTCAGTGCACTTGAGCACCTGCAGTATGTAAGGTACCCTGCTAGATGCTTAACACTGAGGTGTGCTTTGGTATGAATTAAGCATATTTATGTATATTTCATATATTTTGATATATAAAAATAATTGATGCCAATAGTTATACATTATAGAATATTTATACATATTTAAATACAAATTTGCATATATCTATTTATAGTTAATCACTTTGAAACCTGAATCATGTCACATCTTATTTTCTCAGATATTCAGAAACTTCTGAAAAGATTTAATTTGGATTTGACTATTTATGTTTTAATCTCTAACCCTATTTTTGCCAACTTTGAAGTAGATTTAGTTTCCTATAGGTAGAAGTTTGGGAATCTATGAACCTGGAAAGACTTAAGATTTGACAGAGGAGAGGTATTTAGTCGATTCATTTAATTCTCATTTGTTATTTATCCTGAGTCAGTCATTTTTAGCTAAAGCAAAATCTTACTCCTGTATGACTACTATCTAAAATTTTAAAATTGTTATATACCTCTTGGTTCTTAGGTATATCAAATATGTAAAATTGGTCATAGGAATTTACATATGGCGATTCTTTTTTCAACTTTACAAAGTCACTAACTGACCTAAGCTTTGGATAAAATAGGGCTATTTCTTGAAATCACTGATTACAGACATGAGCATGTGGTGATGCTATATGGAAAATTGGTAGTGTGTTCAATTTTAGATACTTGAGAGTCTTGTTATTTAGAATTTTTTGGTACTTGAATTTATGCTTATAAGTATTAACTATATACTATGTTATTTTTTTCTGCTTAGGGTATTCTGGCAATGAAACCACATTTCCTGAAAATAAATGTATCTGAATTTAGTTTATGGGTAAGAATCAATCTATTTTGATGCATATGTTTTTTCTTGATAAAATATATCATTTGCTTTATGTTTTACTTTTAAGGAAATGATCTATGTAATGCAGGGATCTGTTTTATAACATATTTGGGCTCAATGGTAACATGCCAAATTGCCCTTTTGTGAAACAAGTTAACATTAATCCTGGATATGTAGTTAATGAATTCCAGTTTTATTTATTACCCATGTTTCTTCTGAGGAACAGTGCATGTATAAGAAACTGTTAATAGAGGGGGAATTTAATAGCAATTGCTATATAAATCTCCTATAAAATATATTAATTTTGATAAGATTGTATGTATATATTTTTAGCTATTGCCCCTTGATTTTGGAGCTACATTCTTTATTTTAAATTGAGATACATTTTTTAGCATTTTGTCTTGGAGATAGAGATATTTATTTCATGTGTGATTAAAAGATTTATATTTTTTTCTTCCTTGCTTATGTCTATGGAATATGAAGCATCAGATTTATTTTTGTTTTGTTTTGGGGTTTTTTTTAGGTTATACAAGGATGTTTTTGGTTATTTGGAACTGTCATACTCAAATATTTGACATCTAAAATATTTGGCATTGCAGATGATGTAAGTGTTTTTTGCTTAAATTTGAAAGACTTGAAAAAAAACAAACAGGCTAAGAATGAATTATTTGATAACTCAAATTCTAGGATGAATTCTAGTCACCTATTATTTTATCCACTTACTACAATAGAAAGTAAATGTGATTGTGTTTATAGTTTACTATCCAAAATTAATTTCTTGGCACAATCTCTTATCTTATTGGTTCTTCTATATCACAAAGATTTTAAAAGAAGAAAACTCTAGAGATTAAAGCTCAAATTTTAAGGTCTCTACAGCCACTTTTCTCTAGCTTCTCTATGCTCCACTTTTGTAACAAAGACACCATCTTCAGAGCCTTAGCTGGAGATCACATTATAGTCTCATTCTTTCTTCTCCTATTTTCTGGCCAATGCTTGTGAAAGGTTTATTTTTAAGCCCTTACAGGGTAATCTAACCCAAGTTTTCTTATTAAGAGATGTTTTTTGTCTGTTTTGGTATGAGGGTAGGAAAGAAAATAAAATGAGAATTCTGTCTTAAAACTTTAAAGATTCTTCCTATCCATAATTGCTTTGCCTATTTTGTGTTTGTGTTTTTAATCAGCACTTCCCAAGTCAGGAGGCTATCAGAGACTTAACTTAAAAAAGTAAACCACATTTTTCCCCCTGTAATTTTTACTGGCGATCGATCTTTCTTCCTTCTGTACTGGATTAAAGCTCTGGTTTTGAAACTGGATTGTGTGAGGTTCTGGACTTCCAAGGACTCTTTCTTGTGTTCTGTCTTCTTGCTCATCTTGTCTCAGCTCCTCTTTTACCCAGGACAGCTTTTAATCTTTTAATCTTTAAGCTTTTAATCTTTTACATATTGGACATTTATATAGATTTTCATATGATCAAGGGAATTTTTTACTTAAAAAGATTGAAAACAACCGGGCTATTAAATAGCTGGTTTGCAACCTGTGGAAAGATTTTTAAAAGTACAAAACTGTAGTTTAAAATGTATATATTCATTCATTCTCTCAATACATACCTGCTATGTGTCTGTCAGTAGAATATATCCTAGAGATACAAAACTGAGTAAGACATGGTCTAGTGGGAGATAGGAACAGTTTCTAGCAATTATAATGTAATAAAAGCTATGATTTAAAAAAAAAAAAGTACAGAACGATACAGGAGTGCAGAGGAGGAGAATCAGGGAAGGATCCTAGAAGTCAGCTGTGAAGATGAGAGCTGAAAGGTGATTGAGTCATCCAAGATGCAGAGAGTGAGCAGGAAGAAAAGTGAAATAGCTCCAGTCCCAGGTTTATGGAATGTGCTTCCTCACTGAGGGAAGACAAATTAGTTAAGGTTTTGACTCAGGTTAGAGTGATTATTGTCATTTCTGTCACAGCCTAATGTTATACCAGGGAAAAAAAAGTGCTATAGACACAGTTATATCCAAATTAGAAATAATTTAGTTGTAACTTTAATATTTCTAGAAATATGTAACATTGATCAATGGCATTAGTTCATAAATTCTTAATTTTGACATAGTTCAAAGGAAGAGAATGGCAAGACCACCCAACTCTTAAGCATTTCCACCTACCCTTCTCTATGAAGAAAATTAGACACACTCTCCTGTCCTTCAGGAACTGCGTGAGCCATTTCCTAGATTATCCCTGATTTCCCATCCCTCTGCTATCAGTGCTGTCTTGGCAGAGCCTGATGAGCTATAAACTATGGCTAAAATATTTCTATTTTGCACATTTTATTTAGAGTTGACTCAATCAGCAAAATTCTGGAGGCTTTAAAAATCTTCTACTTTGCAGACAACTTGTTCTTTCAGCAACGTGTAACATTTAAGTTCATGGGCTCTGGTGTCAAACAGGCCTAGGTTCAAGTTCTAATTGCCACGTTTTACCTGTGGGACTTCAGACGATTCATCTAAATAAAACCTAAATGAAAAGTACTGGCTCAGTGTAGCGTGGGACCAATGCTCAATAAATATTAGCTGTTGTTGTCATTGTTATTGTTTAATTAATCATTGTTGCTTATCATAAATAGATGTTAAATTTTATTGAATTTTATCAAATGCCTTTCCTGTATCTATTGAAATGATTATACAGTTTTTACTGCCTTTGTCTGTTAACATGATATCTTATATTAACTGAAGACATCTGGGCCAAGACTTTTCTTTGTGGAAATACTTTTAATAACTAATTCATCATCATTGTGTTTTGTTCTTCATGAAGTTTTGGCAATTTGTGTTTTCTAGGAATGTGTCCATTTCATCTATATTTTCTAATTTGTTGACATAAAATAATTAAATTATTACATTATTTTTCTTTAAATTTCTCTTGGATTATTAGAGTTATCCCCTTTTTCATTCCTGGATTTTTATAATTTGTCTTCTCTTTTTAACCCTTGGGCTGTCTAGCTTGATATATCAATTTCTTTGATCATTATAAAGGACCAACTTTTGGTTTCATTATTGTTCTATATTATTTTTGTTTCATCTTTCATTGGTTATTATTTCCTTTCTTCTGCTTGCTTGAGGCTTAATGTGCTTTTCTTTTTTTAGTTCTTAAGATGAAATCTTACATTACTAGTTTGAGACTTTACTAACCACAGGTATTTAAAGCTATATATTTCCCTGTCAGTACTGGTTTAGGTGCATCTTATCTAGTATTGTTATATTTGTTTTCATTTTCAACTCAGTTCAAAATATTTTCTAACACTTCCTGTGATTTCTTTTTTGATTCGTTTGTTATTTAATGCATGTTGTTTAATTTTTAGCTATTTGAGTATTTTTCAGATTTCTTTCTCTGTTTTTGTTTCTAATTTGATTGCATTGTGTTTGGAGAACATCTTTCAGTATTTTAAAATTTATTAAGAATTTTGTATGGCCTCGTATATTGTCTGTCCTGGAGAGTATTCTGTGTGTGTTTGAGAAAACATTATTTTGCTATTCTGTGGTTACTGGGTAGTGTATTCAGTAAATATCAGATCAAGTTGTTTGATAGTGTTTTTCTTATATATCCATGTAATGTAATTTTTGATAAGTGTTTGGATTTATGGTTGCCATTTTGCTATTTTTTTGAGTCTCATGTCTTCTTCTGTTAAATATTTTTTGCATGTATACCATTTTAAATTCTGTTGATTTCTTAACTACATATTTTTTAGCTATTTTTCAAAAAATATTTTATGATCTATACTCACAATGCTGTACATAAGATCCCCAAAACTTTCATCTTATAACTGAAAGTTTATGCCATTTGTCCAACATTTCCCTATTTCCCCAACCCCATAACCCCTGGCAATCACCATTCTACTCTCTGCTTCTATGAGTTTGAGTTTTTAGAGTCCACAAATAAGTGAGATTATATATAGTATTTGTGTTTATGTGTCTAGCTCATTTCACTTTGCATAATGTCCTCCAGGTTCATCCTGGAGGATGTTGTTGCAAATGGCAAGATTTTCTTCTTTTTTATGGCTGAATAGTATTCCATTGTGTATATTGATATATATACACACAAAACATTTTCTTTATTTATGTATTGATAGACACTTAGGTTGTTTTCATGTCTTGGCTATTGTGAATAATGCTGCAGTGAACATGAGTATACAGATATTTCTTCATTCTTTTTATGGTTGCTCTAGGGATTGCAGTATACATCTTAATTTATCACAGTTTACTTTAAGCTAATACTGACTTGATTCAGTTATTAAAATACATAGTTCCTTTACTTCAATACATCTTTACTTCCTATGTTCTCTTTTGTGCTGTTATTGTCATGGATATCCTATCTATATAGAAGTGCCAACAATACACAGTTAGGACTATTGCCTTATGCAATCTTATATATTGATCTTATGGATTAATTTAAGAGAAAAAATTTTAAATTGACTTTTATATTTACCCACATTTTTGCCATTTTTATTTCTCTTCTTTTTTGTGTGTGTGAATGTGAGTTACTGTCAGTATCATTTCCTTTCAGGCTGAAGGATTCCTTTTTTTTTGTAAGTCAGGTCTGCTAGCATTGTATTCTCTCAGGCTTTGTTTCTCTTTGTAATATCTTTATTTACATTAATTTTTTAAGGATAATTTTGCTGGATATAGCATTATTGGTTGACAGTTCTTTTCTTTTAAAATTTCTGTCCTTTGTTACTTCTAATGAGAAGCCAGTCAATTAATATTATTTTATTAATATTAATAAAATACTATTAATGTTAATCAAAAATTTTTTATCCCCCTGCACATGATGAGTTGGTTTTCTGTTGTTCCTTTTAAGATGTTGTCTTTATATTTCACACTTAAAAGTTTGACTATGGTATATGTAGATATGGATCTTTTTGAGTTCATCCCTCCAGGTGTTTATTGAACTACTATAGGTTACTATTTTTCATCAAAATTGGCAAGGTTTTGGCCATTGGTTTTTCAAATATTTTCCCTTTTCCCTCTTTCTGCATCTCTCATTACACATTTTTGTGTGCTTAATATTGTTCCAAAGGTTTTTGAGACTTCAAAAATTCATTTTTGAAGTTCATTTTTCCATAGTCTTCCCCTCTCAATAATTTCTAATAACATATCTTAACATATCTTAAGCTTATTGATTCTTTTTCTAACTTTTGAAATTTATTGTTGAGCTCATCTAGTGAAATTCATTTCACTTGCACATTTTAACTCTAGAAAATTTCTTTTTTTAAAGTTTGATTTCTTCATTAAAATTCACTGTTTGCTGAGTCTTCATTATATTTTCCCTTAAATTTTAAACATGGTTGCCTTTACTATTTTCACATATTTATAATTGCTGCTTTGAAGGTTTTGTTGTCTAACTACAACATCTAAGCCCTTTCAGTCAGTCTTTATGTGTTAGACTTTCCTGTTTCTTTGCATGTCTCATTAAGTTTTTTTATAACTGGATATTTTAGGTAACATATTGTAGCAACTCTGGATTCTGACTTTTTTCCGGGGGGGGGGGGGTTCTGTTGTTGCTATTTTATTTGGTTTTTTTTTCCTCATTTATGTGGACTTTATCTGAGAAATTTTCCTCTTGTGCTGTATGGCTGCTAATGTGTCTACTCAGGTTTTTTGTTTTGATTTTTTTAATTCTTATTTTTGGTTTTTTAACCTGGCTTTCTAGGTGTCACTTCTATGTCTGTGTAACTTAGAGCTCAGCCAGTGATTGGTCAGAAGTTGTGCTCAGACATCTCCATCCTCTCCTGATGGATCTTTGTGGGGGTTGATGAGCACATTAAGAGGGAAGACAGTTTTCAAGTGTATTGGAGGGTTCCCAGGTTTGACAGTTCATTAGATGACTCAGTGTATAGTCATACTCATGACAATCATTTATTATATTGAAAGAATACAAAGCATAATCAGTAAAGGGGAAAGGCACACAGGGTGAAGTCAGGAAGAAACCACACACAAGTTTCTAAAGGTTCTCTCCTGGTGGAGTCACATGGGATGTGCTTAATTTACCTAGCAATGAGTTGTGACAGAACATATGAAATACTATCTACCTGGGAAATTCTTTAGAGACTTCAGTGCCAAAGGATTTCATTGGAGGCTGGTTGTGTCAACACCTCTGCCTAGCACATATCAAAATTTCCAACTCCCAGAAGGAATGTAAGTCTTCACTATAAACCACATTGTACAGTTTAGGTTCACTTGGCCACCCTTATCTGAAAACCCTCCTGAAATCAAGTTCCCTGAGACTAGCCAAGGGAAAACCTTGCAAGCAGTTTTTCAAAGGGCCAACTATGTTAACTCTTTTCTGAACATCAAGTTAGCTCCATCTTTTTCTATCTTCCATGCCTTCTTAGGTCTTTTGTGAATTTGCATGCCACCTCCCAGTCAGCCATGGATTTGTGGAGAGTTTGGGCTCTCTTGGATCTTCTCTACACATGTGTGCAACTTTCCAGCCCTCAAGGGGTGTGAGAGCTTATCTAACCCCCCCCCCCTTGATAGCTGTTTTATTTCTAGAATCTCTCTGTAAAATTTCTGACTAGTCTGCCAATCTCCTGTTCACCTCACTGGGATTGCAAACCTTAGGCTATCAGAGCTGAGTTTTCACCTTTTACTTCCTACTGAGTTCACTAGTTTACTGATAATACTTCTGAGCGTAGGTTTTTTGCTCTCTACCCCAAATCAAGTCAGCCTCTTCCAATAGCAAACGTTCTTCTTTTCATGACCAGGCCCTACCTAGCAGAGCTATTGCAATGACCTAGCTGGGGAAGGTGAGGGTGGTGCTGATGGTGGATGGGAGCAACCAAGGCAAGAATGCCATAGACTCTGACTGTTTTTATCCAAGGTTCCTCAGTTTTTTATGAATAAAGGCTTCTCAATGTATTCTTTCCCTTTGGTCAATTTCTAGAGCTTGATGTGGTTGTTTTTAACAATTCTGTCCAAGTTTAAAGTTGTTTTGGGGAAGGAGAGTTGTTAACTTCTTTACTCTGCTATATCTGGAAGTCTCCACATTCCTTGATACGGAGTGTTGACCCAGTCTTGTATCCCTGGGATTAACCTCATTTGCTCATGATTTATTACTCTTTCTGTATATTGCCGGATTTTGTTGGCTAGTATTTTAAAGGATTTTTTGCCTTTATTCACAAGGAATCTTAGTTATTTTCTTTTCTTGTAATGATTGTACCTGGTTTTGGTTTCAGGATAATGTAGACTCCTAAAATCATTGGGAAGTGTTCTGTCTCCTGTTTCCAGAGAGAATTTGTGTAGAATTGATATTATTTCTTTCTTAAATGTTTGGTAGAATTTGAAAATGAAACCCTCAAGAGTCTGGAGTTTTCTTTGGGGGTAGGTTTTCTTACTATAAATTCAACTTCTTTAGGAAGTTCTCAGGTTTATCTAGAATGAGCTTTGGTAGTTATGTCTTTAGAGGAACTTCGCCCATTTTATATATACCATCATTGGATCATCCTTGTTAAAAGTATTGTTGGATTCAGTTCACTAAAATTCTTGTTGAAATTTTTGCATATATGCATTTATGGGAAATGACCTTCTTGTTCTTTTATGGAGTTCTTATTTTGATTTAGAATCAATGTTAGTCTCCTGAAATGAGCTGTGTTTTTGGTGGCTTTTATTTGCTATTTTTTCTACTTTCTGGAACAACTTGTAAAAGAAAGGATGTAATGGTTTTTTGAAAGTTTACGAATTCATCTGTATTAACCATCAAAGACTAGGGCTTTTTGGAGGGAACCTAATTGATTTTTATTTCAGATATTTTAGTGCTTATTATTCTATTCAGGTTTTCTATTTCTTTTTGTGCAAGTTTTGGTATTTTATAGAAATTTCCAGAAATTTATCCATTTCACCTAGATTTTAAAATTTACTAGCAAATTATGTAGCATACTCTTCTTATTTTAATTCTGTTGTATCCCTAGTCACTCTTCATTTTTCTTTTTGTCATTTGTTTGCATCTTTTATTTCATTGATTAGTCTTGCTAGAGGTCTATTTATTGTAATATTTTCAAAATTTTGCCTTTTTTTAGTCATCTTTGGGTTTTTTGTATTTATCTTTGTCACCAATTTCTCTCTCTATTCTCATTTCTTCTTATCTCTTTGGGGTCTATAGCTTTTTCTGATGCCTTAGGGGGAAATGTTTAGCACCTCTCTTATTTTCTGATAAATGCTTTTAAAGCTAAAGTTTTCGTATAAGTATGTAGTACATTTTTGTGTATTTTATAAATTTGCTATTTGTGGTTTTCTTTAAAAAGAAAGCTTTCTTTTTTAAAGAAAACCTTTTTTTAAGGTTAAGTTTTATGTTGTTTAGTTTCTAAACAAAAGGATTTTTAAAGCATTCCTAGTTATTTTCTAGCTTAACTGCATTTATGATCAGAAACATTTATATTTTATCAATTTTTTGAAATTTATTGTGACATGGTACCTGAACATTTTCAAAATATATTTTACTTCTGTTCAAGGATATTGTATATTCTCTCTTTGTAAACTTTATATTTTCTGTTTGTGAGCTTTTTAATTATATTATTCCAATTGTATGTTAACTTTTGTCTAATTTTTCTATTATGGGGACAATGTTTAACATTTCCAATGAACACTGTCACTTTATTTTTTCCTAAAAGTTTGTTAATTGTTCTTTTATGTACTTTGAATCTATATTGTTAACTATAGATATGTTCATACCACCTATAATTTGCTTTGTTGTTCATTTTACCAGCATATATTATTCATTGTCTCTGTTTATATATGTTTTGCTTGAGTTTTGTGAGACATTACAATTGCTAACTTGTATTTCTTTGTTTCACATTTATCTAGAATATCTTCTTCTATTCTGTTTTCAGTTTTTTGTATAAAGTATGTATTTTGGTGATAAAATAATATTGGATTTCACCCTTAAATGCAATTTGAGCATCTGTTCTTTAATTAGTGAATTTAGGCTCTTTATATATATGGCAATTACCATTATACCAGGACTTATATCTTCCATTTTATTTGGGATTTGTTTTCTTGCTGTTTTAGGTGCTGTGTATTCTTCCTATTGATTTCTTAAACTTATCAGCATACATCTCTTCCCCCAAGAAGACCAGAGTATTTTGAAATGCTTCATCCCATTCTCACCATCCTTTAATTCCTACTCTTACCCTGATCCTTCTATTTTTTTATACATATCACGTAGAATTTTAGTTATGATTTCTCTTAAATATAATTTGTCCTCTTTTTTAGGTCTTTGCTTTTTCAGACAATAATGGACTTTCAAGTTCTGCAAACATTTTATGTCTTTGAGCCCTAGTTTTGTCATTTATAAAGTGAAAACAATTCCACCTTCTTTGTATGGCTTTCTGTGGGAGGTAAATGTGCTGTGAGAGTGCTTGGTAACATGTAAAGAATTACACACGAGTTGATTACTAGTCAAAAAAGTGCCTTTTATTCCAAGGCCTGCCTCTTTCTACTTTGTTCAAGTAGCCTTGTCCATCCCCTTTCCAGAATATGGAGTTAATATTTCTGTGTCTTTACTCCATAGCCCTTTGCCCCTCTATGATTGACAGAAGTCTGTATGTGTTCCCAAGCCTAACATCTCCAGGGAGGCTCTAGCAAAGGAGATGCTGGTTATCGTGTTTCACCAGGTTTAGCACAATGAGCAGGCAAAACCCAAGGGTAAATTCCTTTGGTATATTGATGAGTGTGCAAGGTAGGGTGGTGTTGGAGCTATCACTTGTCCATAAAAGAAGTGGGGAACTGTGAATTTGGAGAGTATACAGCACTTTCTTCTTTAACAAAAACAAGAATGGTATGGGAATAGTAGGCTCTAGAGTGTAGCAAAGACTATTTTTAGATACTGTTACTATTAAAGTGCATTATTACAATATATGGCTTAATGGTACCTCACTTTATTTCTTACTAGGCTCATATTGGCAACTTATTAACATCAAAATTCTTCAGTTATAAGGATTTTGATACTTTATTATATACTTGTGCAGCAGAGTTTGACTTTATGGAAAAGGAGGTAAGATGTGATTTCTAGTTTTCTTTCCTTAGGTTTTGGATCATTCATGTTTTATAAAGAGTGCTCCTGTTATTTCAGACTGCTTATGCACTGTTATCTCTTTGAAGGAAAGGGAAAATCTGGCAGCTTAAAGGAGGATTTTCCTATTTACATTAGTATAACTCCCTTAAATATATGACTTTTTCTCATTTTGATAATTTGGAAATATGCATTCAAACTAGCAGTGGTTTTTTGGATGAGTAAACACAGAGGCATTTCAATTTTCCTCTTTTCAGAGATAGCATTAATTCAGTCAAGCTCTCAAGCTCTTACATTTCTACTTATTTTGTGGTCGTTTGAATGAGCTCATTGCTTTGAAATACCATTGAGTACAAGTTTTTCATTCCAACAACATTTTTCTTTCCAAAACTGTACTCAGATGTTTAGAAGGAAACAAGAAAGTAGTTTAGTGGATTGTGAGACAGAAGCCTACAATATTGCTTGATGTTCTTGAATAAGTAACTCTCCATTCTTTGTGTTATATTTTACTAGTTTCTAGTAGTATGCTACAAACAGATATTGTGAAGACAAAATGAGATAATACATAGGAAAATACTTTGGTATTTTAAATAAAATAATATTTTATAAAACTTTATGAGCTGATTTGGTCCAGTGAATATGTGTATATGCCTTTTTTAACACCATTCATGTGACACTTATTTATTATATCTTAGTATTTTTAACACATTTTTCTTAAAAGCTGTTTATGTGTGCATGTATTAAACTGGCCAACAATACTCCATTGATACGTTCATTTCCCCTGTGATCCCACTGTGTTAGCCCAGTGTCCTGAGTTCCAGACCAGTAGATGGTAGTGTACTACACGGCAAATTCTTGCCAACCAGCCGTTCTGAGTTGAGTGCATCCTGTAGATGTACTATGTCCTCCAGCAGCCTATCAGTCTTCATTTATTATGTCCTGGCAAGTGGTTATGATGTGTAATGGCTGATAAAAAGTGTCCGAATGATAGTGTTGAACCTGCTGAGGGAAATGAAGAATATCTTGCAAGACATTAGAATGAATGTTCATAGGAGATCAAGACTCATTCAAACGTTAGGAGAGAATTAGGATTTGGTGAAAACTCTCTAACATGGAGGATATCACACTTGCCACTAGAGTCTAAGAGTATTAACCATCAGTTATGTTATGAAAGAAATTTATTGAGGCATAATGTGACTTCAGTCACTTTGAAAAAAACAGCCAAGCTGTTTCCAGCATGCCATTTCCCATCTCCAGAAATATCTGAATTCACAGGGACTGTGCTGTAGAGACAGAGTACAGTGCTAGTTCAGGAAGTGCATCCCTTTTATGATACAGCTATATAGTGGGGAAAGGGGGAAAAATTTAAATTGATATTCCATAATATGATATCATAATGACATGGAAAGTTACTTAAGATATAATGGATAGAATGGTACAATCGTATTTACCTATAATGAACACACATAAGGTATAGGAGCAAAATTTTAACAATGGTTTTGGGTAGAGAGATAGTTGAGATGTGCGCAGGGTTGCCATGTGTAAGGCTTTGTTATTAAAAACATTTGTATAGTTTTTTATCTGTTACTAAAGAAAATGTAAAAATGTCTTTTGTCCCTATTATAAACATTGGTTATTTTGTATGTTTTTGTGTGTGAGTGAATGAGAAAGACAGTGATAAAATTTTTATTCCCCACAAAATGTATAGGAAAAGCTTATTCCATTTAAAGGAACTCTACTTACCTTAAAGGAATATTAAATTGGGCTCTCTAGCTAGACAAGTAGAATGCAAAAGTGAACAGTAGTCTTTCTAGTCACTTTTCACACTTAGGTGTTGGGGAACTTTATTTTTAGAGTATTTAACTCAACATTTTGGGAAAGTTTGTTTCTGTGGAAATGCACCTTCATTTCAATGATGGGAATCAGAGTAGATTGTACCCTTGATGGGTGAATGTTTATATTTCTTTATACTTTTAGAAATTTACTTGTTTTATTATTTGAAATGAAATTTTGTTTGGTTAAGATAACATTTCCCTCTAACAAAATATCTCCTTAAATTTCAGACTCCACTGAGATATACAAAGACGTTGTTGCTCCCAGTTGTTCTTGTAGTGTTTATTGCAATTGTTAGAAAGGTATGTCTCTTCCTGAAGAGCTCTTTCTAATACTAAAACATTTTCTTGTTTTTAAATGGTAGTTATATATACTTGGGCACATGATAATCTGATACAGTGTTTTGTATGGGTTTATTGAAACATATTCTATATTTTCTTATTGATAGACTTTGATAGACATTTATAAGTTTTTAAAATATTCTGATATCTGCTAGCGTAAAATAGACATAGGAAAAGGATAGCTCAAGTTTTGATACTCATGTATTTTTGGAAGACATAATCAGAGCTCATATTGACCCAGATACAACTTGTAAATTATTACTGACTGACTTTAAACTTTTAGGTAATATTTCCCTGAAATATTAAATATGCCTTTCTAAGTGAAAGTGCAGTGTTAAATAACTCCTGGATCATGTTTATTATTCATCAAAAAGAAAAATAGAGTTTTAAAAATGTATTGATTAACTAGATAAAATGTTTAGGCCTCCAACTTGGCTTTGATAATGAAATTCTAAGCCCAGATGTAAATCAGGCCAGAGAAACTCCAGTTTACATTGAGCAGGTGTCTGGTATTTTCTCTCCTTCTTTTAAGAGGTTATGAACTCTATAACTACAAGTATCTTAACAGAATGAATTGAGATTAATCTGTGATCGAAAAATAGGTGGTAGACTTTAGAAGTTTTCTGATTTGTAGCTAGTGATTTCTGTGTTAACACAATGTCATATATTTGTAGAACTTTTTATACTATAACAATTGTTCACATTATATATTTGTACTGTGCTTTGTTACTCTCCCAAAACATTTTCACATGAATATTTCCATTGGTTACTTGACAGCCCTGTAGGGGGGCAGATATTATCCCCATTTTGACACATGTAGAATGGGAAGATCAGAGATGTTGCAGCCTCACATCATGTCCATATTCACTGGGTGTCAGGTAGATGGGAGCTGGGAGAAGGGGATGAGTAAACTCACACCTAAGGGGTGCTGTGAGCACTGTCTGGGGGGTGGGCACACTTGTAGCTCTGACCCTGGCCATGTGCACTGTCTGGGGGATGGGCACACTTGTAGCTCTGACTCTGGCAGTGCAAAGACAATATATGTAACCAAAGTTTGTACCCCTGTGATATTCTGAAATAATTAATTTTTTAAAAAAGCAAGGGAAGAGTAAGACTAAGGCTTACCCCTCATTGGATCTCATAGGGTATTTGGCTTTATACTCTCACAGCACTTTTCAGCTCCAGTAGTCAGTTAATCAGCAGTCCTGCTGTGTGCCAGGCTCTGTGCTTGCTTTGCACTTTTATATACTTTATGTGGGTTTGTACCTAGTAGGTACTCAGAAAATACTAGATGTTGGCCACCCAGAATATATTCAGAAGACAGTACCGTGGGTGGCGAGAAATGATGAAAGCAGTTACCTGGGCTGTTTGATTCAAAAAGGAAAAGATTCAGATGGAAAGAGGATAATTATTTTCAAATATTTAAAAGCCTGCCACTTGAAAATAAGGTGACACTCATTCTGGCTCATTTGAATTATGGTCAATTCTAGGAGGTAGGACTTTTGAGACTTTTGATCTGGACTGATTAAGAAAATGTTACAGATTCAAGCAGAAGCTGGGTGGTTCTTCCAGGGCTGAATTAAAACATGTCAGCAGTGTAGTGGAGAGTATCCATAACCAGGATGAGGATTTCAGATTAGATGACCTCCCCATTACTGCTAAATATGAAAGCACACTGAGTGTATTTTGAATGCTTTTAGCATGATTATCAGTCTCTGAGCCAGTTCTCCAGTTTTGCCTGCGTATAATTAAGTAGAGGTATTGCCAACAGCCTTGGTATGGCAGAAGCGGCACTGAACGTGAATTTGAAACCAGAAGATCTGGTTTCAGGACCCAGCAATGCTTCTTAGTTGTTCACCTTCAGGGAGATCATTTAATCAATCTGAGCCTGTTACTTATTTACAAAATGAGGATAATATAATCTACCTAGCAGAGGTGTTGAGTATTAGATATGATCAAATACTATACAAATATAAGATTCTATTGTAATTATTATTTTCCAAGTTATCTCTTATCTCCGTACTTCTCATGTTTTTAATTAAAAGTTTTAAAGTTTAGAACATATGTTATTTAAAATTTTGTTTTTCCCCAAATAGCTTTTCTAATGTGTTTAAAAATGTATTTACAGATTATCAGTGATATTTGGGGTGTCTTAGGTAAACAACAGACACATATAAGGTAATTATGCTATTAAGAATTTTGTTATCTATTCATTTATTAAATAGATATTTACAATGTATTAATTTTATACCTTCATGCTGTGCACTCAACATTTGATATTTGATGTTTTTTGTTATTGTCATTCCCCTTTTTGGCTTTTCTGGTTATTTACTATCTGTGCAGAGCACAGCACATCACTCGTTCATCCCTCAGATCTCATCCAGTACAATCTGACAGTGGCCCTATACTGTGTACTGGAAGAACACAGCTTTGTGTTAATACTGCAGTTCAACAGGGAAAATAAATTATTCTATGAGTGCTTTTAGGACCAGAGGACTGCCTATTGGAAAATAAGCAAGGAAATATAAACCTGGACCATACCTTACTTTTCACACAAAATAAATTCCAGATGGAACAAAGATTTAAATACAGAGAAAAAAATGAAACTCTAAAATTAATGAAGAGAATGTTTATAATCTTAGAGTTAGAGAGGCCTTGTTAAGACAAAACTTATGTGCTAGGAGTAAAGATTGACGAAGTTGACCAGAAAAATAGTTTGGCAAGATACTGTAAACATTGTGAAAAGAAATAGGACAGATTGGGGGAAATATTTGTGATATATGATACAGGACTAATGACCATCATATATAAAGAACTTCTACAGATCAATAATAAAAATGCTAAAATCCTGTTAGAAAAATAAGTTAAGGATACAAACAAACAATTGAGAGAAAAATCAATTCTCTTTTTCCTTTCCCAGTAGACTCATGTCCCATGGACCTCCTTTCTGTTCTTTAACAATGGCAAGTAGTTTTCTGTCTCTGCAGCTTTGCAGGAGTAGTACTCTGTATACATAACTGTTCCCCCATCTCCTCTTTTCCCCTAGCCCGGCTCTTTGTATGGCAGACTCCTTTAAGCCTTGCTTAAATGTTACTTTTTTCAAGAAGCCTTTCCTGACAATTTCTGAGCAGATTCCTTGTCCTCTTGCTTGATGTTTTCACCATCACACCCTTTATCTTTCTCTCTTACCATTGATCACCATTTGTACTTAAATACTGTTGTGTCACCTGTGTCTCCTGAAGGGTGGGATCATGTCTGTTCATCAGTTTATATGCAGTACCTGGCACATAGCAAAGATAGTAGTTGAATGAGTGAATATTTATACATAACTAATGGGCACCCAAAAAGGTGCCTAATCCTATCATAAAGACATTCAGATTAAAGTGAAAGCCTTTTAACTTGCCAGATTTGTAAAAATTAATAATATCCATGGCTTGCAAGGAAATAGGTGAGTGGGCAGTTTGGCAGTATGTAGCAAAACACACAGTAGGCCTGTTCTTTAGCCCAGCAGTTCCCCAGTGCAAATGTATCTTCTAGAAATGCTCACAGAAATGCAGAGATAATGGTTAAAAGGTGCTTATTGTGGTATTGTCTGTAATGTGAAAAATGGAGACAACCAAAATGTCTAGGATTGATTTAATTATGATCTTGTCATAGTGTGGAATGTCAAGCCATCTTTATGGAAGTAGTTCCATCATATATCACTGAATTTTAAAAATAGGTGGAATTATTATACTTTTGTTTAAAGTATGGAGATTTTGTGTTTATTTGTACATAAGAGTGATCTGGAAGAATAAAACCCATTAAGAGTGTAGGATTGGAAGATGGAGTAAAGGAAGTTTTAATTCTACTTTCTTCTGTGGGATGGGGGGGCTAGAGATTGTTGAATTTATGTGTATCTGTATTTTCTTTTATAACTTGAATATACACAGCCTTATATTATTCCCTCACCTCCAAATCTCTGCCAACACCATGATAAATTATTGCACATACTCCTGAGAGAATCCTTGTTCTCATTTAGAAACAATTTCCTGTAACTATGCCCTTGCTCATACCTGAAGCATTTTAGTTGAGGGCCAGGGGAAAAGGAAAACGGTTCTGGTATATAATGCTGACATTTCTCTTCATTTGAGGTGAAATTATTTCTGAAGAGCTCAGAAATAAGCTACAACATTACAGCTATAGTATGCAGCTCTGGAAGAGGAAGGTGGGACTTTTCACAGAAACAAAACCGTCCCTTCAAGAATAACTCGACTATAGAAATAATTATAGAAAACCATTGAGTTTCATGAGGTTTTCCTTTCAAGTAGGATCAGAGCTCATTTTTGGAAGGAGAGTAGCATTTTGACATTTTATTTCACATAACTACAAAAGTCATATGCCAATATAAAAAGGAGAAGGCTAGTTGATAAATTTTAATTATCAAGATGTAAATACCAGTATCCCCTTCACTGAGGGATTCAGGAGATAAAGGAAGATAGATAGTGGCAGCATGATGTAGTAAAAAGTACGTTGACTCCTGAATCAGTCAAAATATAGTCCTGGCTGCCACTTACTAGCTCTGTGACTCCCTTTCCTTAGCTGTAAATTGGGATAATAAATGGTTGTAAGATCAGAGTTAATGGAATGTACTAAGCATATTAACATTGTAAATGCTCAGTAAATGGTAACTGATAGTTTTTACTTGGCATGAAAGAAGGATAAAGAACCATCTCATCTCCTTCACTTACCCCATGTTTATTGAGATTGCTAATATATTAATTTCACAAATTAGATTATGTGCTTACCTGGGTTAGGAGTTAATTGATACACTTGTTCATTCATTTAAAAAAAATTGAGCGCTATGTGTCAGGCATTGCTTTAGGTCTCGGGAACATATCAGTGCCTAAGACAGAGAAGATGTGTGTGTCAACTCACGCATTTGTATCTCTGACCCAGACCTCTCCTTTGAACTCAGATTTGTGCATGTAACTGTTTGATAACTATTTGTCATCTCTACCCGGGTGTTTAATGAGAATCTCAACCTTTAATGAGTACAACACTGAATGTCTGACTGTACCCCTGCCAGCATGCTTCTGGACCGTCCCTATCTGATAAGGACCTCTGTTCTCCTCATGCCTCCACTCAAAAAGCCTGGCGTCGTTCTTGATTCTGCTGTTTATTTCACATGCCACATCCCATCCATCCGTAAATCTCATCATCGTCACCTTCAGAATTACATCCAGACTTTGACTACTTTCATCACTGCTATCCTGGTCCGCGTCACTGTCACCTCCCCTGGATTATTCCTCATAACCTCCTGACTCCCTGCTTCTGCTCTTGCTGCCGCAGGTCTTTCTCCACATAGCCGCCTCTAAAGCGGAAGTCAGATCCTGCCGCTGCTCTCTTTATGTCATCTTCCACATCACTCTGAGTAAAATTAGAGTCCCCATCATGGTTTTCCAGGGCCCTGTGTCTTCTGGCCCTTTGTCCCTTTTTGTCTCCCCGCTCACTTTCTCCTTGCTAATCACACTGTCTTGTGTAGCCCGCTAGAACCTCCCTACCACAGAGCCTCTGCATCCTCTCTTCTCTCTGCCCGAAATGCCCTTCTCTGCAGAATCCTCAGGGCTCACACTGTCAGCTGAGATGTCACTTGCTCAGATGTCGCTCAGTTGGTGACCACACGGATTAATACACACCTTCCTGGGTACCCCACTCTCCCTATGTCTTTTCACCCTGTTTCCTGTTCTTCTCAGCACTCATCATCATGTGATATATGTTTATTTGCTCTTTGTTTGTCTCCTTTGACTTATATGTAAGCTTCGTGAGGGTGAAAATTTTTGTCCATTTTGTTTCTGCTCTATCTTCAGGGTCCTTACTGCTCAGTGAAATTGAATGGAAATAGACAGATGAATTTGTACTCTGTATTCCTCAGTGGATCATTTTAGTAGGGAGAGACAGATGATGATCAAGTAAACCACAAATGAGAATTTTGTTTTCTGTGAGAAGACAAAACAGGGATGGTGGGTAGGAGTGACCCAGGAGAGGACACTGAATGTTGGAGAGTCAAGGGCTCTCTGATGGTCTAGGGAGTAAATGGTCTAGTGTGACAGAGCATGGCAGTTAAGAGGGAGCATGGTTGAAGATAAGTTTCAGGGCTGAGAAGTGGGGCTGGCATAGAAAGACCATGAGTGTCAGGAGTTGAGAGTTTAATTGCAAAGGGAACCCATGACAGAGTTTTAAATAAGGGAGTAGCATGGCTAGCTTCCCATTGGCGAGATTGCCCTCACTGCAGTGATGAGGATGGATGGTCGGGGCAGGAGTGAGATGTGGGGAGGATATGTCAGCCTCTGAGCATGTGTCCTTCCCTTCTCAACAAGTTAGAGTTGTCAAGCAAAGCTAAAGATGGAAATCTGTGTCTATTTGTATATTCCACAGCTGGTGCTGAAACAAATCTCTTATATGGCTTCCCCAACCCTAAATGGTCTCTTTAGCAACTGCAGTTTATGGGGGCACTGAGGGATCACAGGGCCGGGAAGCAGACATATGGGATATGAAGGCTTCAGAGTGCATATCCACTCCCTGTGTTGACGACTTATCACCAGTGAGGGATCTGGTATACCACAGGGAGCTTTTAGTTGGCCTAATAAATACCCATGTAGTCAAATATTCAGGATATAATGCAACATTGTCATTTTCAATAAACTTGCTTAAACTATTTTAGTAATAGTTTTGTATATAACTTTTAGTTATTTTGATTTACATATATGTATCCTGAGGGAATATTATAGAAATTGTAAAATTAGCATTTGTAAGATAAAAATGCAAATAATGATTCAATAGCAGTATTTTTTGTTTGTTTGTTTCAGAAAACACCAGTTTGATCATGGAGAGGTAAAGACATCATTACTAAAATTTCACTTATCTATTTGGACTTTTCTTTCTAGTTCCAATTTCTAAGTTTATTGGCAATTGTCATTAATCATCTTCAGAATAGCCAGTATGGTATGTGCTTTTATGAGAATGCTACATACAGACGCACTGGCCATTCGTGTGTTAAGACAATTAACTGGGAAGTTTGTTTGGTCTGATGCTGACAATCCTTACAGTAACAGCAGTTGATTTCTGGAGCCCATTTAGACACATATGTGAGATGTCTTGCATGATTGGAAATCAGTTTCCTTTCTGCTCACCTTCCCCCGTGGCTTAGGACGTGTGACTGGTTGCTGCTCCCATCTCCTAGTGATCCAGCTTAGTTTTAAGGGCAGTTCCAAGATGGAGTTCTAGGATCTTGAGGCAACCATCATTTCTTTTACCACTTTCCTTCATTGGTCTGATGGTAGCACCAAAGTAGATTCAGAAACGTGGGCTTTATTAACCATGGGCTTGACTTTGAGAATTACAGAAACATTTAACTTAGTGACTTTATAATTTTAGTCTTCTTCTAGAATGGAGCAGTTTGAAAGAGAATTTTAAGAACTACTCTAGAAATTTCAGAACATAAAGTAATACTTTGACTTATTACTAAGAAAAAAGTATTCTTTTCCGTATATTCACCAGCATAATAGTATATTCTTAAACTTCACAAATAGTATAAGTAAAAAATATTTTCTTCTTTCTTTCAGCTGGTTTATCATGCACTGCAACTGTTAGCATATACAGTCCTTGGTATTTTAATTATGAGACTAAAACTCTTCCTGACACCACACATGTGTGTTATGGCTTCCTTGATCTGCTCAAGACAGGTAACACGGTTGTTACATTGGAGTTATAGCTACTATGATGATTTTACTCCAGTCTTTGTTACTGAGTAGCCCTAAAATAATACTGAATTACCCAATGGTTTTAAAGTCATTATACTTAAAATTCTTGGTTTTGTACTAATCTTTCCTAAAAGGTAAGGGCCAAAGCTAATCATTGTGTATCTTTCTGACTTGTAAAATAGTCCTTGGTGTACAACAAGGACTAAATCAGTGCAGGCTGATTTCATGAGTGATTACTACGGATGCTGATAGAAAGCAAAGTTTAATTGTAGGAATAGCTTTTTGTTGTTCTTTTGACATTCATATCACAAAAAATTCTAATAATTGATTTTAAGTTATAGGTTATACTTTCAAACTTATAACTTAAGTTATAAGTTATACTTTCAAATTATATGTTCTTTTTTAGTATCAAGCTTAACTTTGTTTCATTTATTTGGTATACCTTTGTGTATACATCCCTGACTTTTGGTTTTTAAAATTTACTTTAAGCCTTCCTTGATTATTTGCTGCTTATTTTTCCTGGAACACTGCCTCCTTGCTCTGTATTCACAGATTATGCTTCCCCATGGTGTCACCTTTTCGTCATCCAGCCAACGTGAAACATAGTTGTACCTCTATTAACTAGGAGACACTTACTAAGCCCCCACTCTGTGCTCTAGGGATGGGGTAGATTGGTGGATGGAAAAATCAAAAACCCAAAGTGTATGTGTGCCCTCAAGACGCTTGAAATGTGGTTCTACAGACATGTAGAGAAATAATATTAAGGAGAGAACAACAGGGAAGGGCAAAGCATTATTACTGAGTATGAACTATTTGCATATTGAAAAAAATTAGCCAGTCTCAAGGTTCCCAATCAGAATGTTGGTAGTATGTTAGAGAGGCACTACTAAGCCTTTTATCTTAAATCTCCTTCCTCAGGGTGACTGATGATATAAAGCCTCACCCAGGGCTGGCTTCACAGGTGTGGGGCCTCTGCTGTGCCACAGGGCATTGCACTCAAAAGGACCCTGCACTTTGATTAATGCTTGCCCTTGCTGTTTTGAACTTCTTAATAACTTTTTTTTCCAGAGTGGATGCATTTATTTTCATATGCAAATATATCACCCTTCAACAAATATACAATAGTTATAAGATCTGAAAATTAAGTCTCCCAGAGAGAACTGCAATCTCTGGATTCATGTGCTTTAATCCTTCCATGCAGAGCCTCCGAACATAAGACTCTTAATAACTTTTGAACAAGGGACCCCACATTTTCATTTTGCACTTGGCCTTGTAAGTTGTTTAGTTGGTAGTGGCTTTACCTGAATCTGGGAGTAGAGAAAGCAGGTTGAGAGAGAAGCTTTTTAAAGGCATGATCCATCTATATAAGGCTGATGGTAGAATTCTTTTGATTCCAAGGATCATTATTTTTGGAACTTATCCTTTGGATAATTAGTCCTTTGTCTGAGAGGCTAGATTCTTCTCTGGGAAAATTTTTTCTTATTGGGTATACACTGCTTTGTACTAACGATTATCAATGTATCAATTTGGTTACAGCTATTTGGATGGCTCTTTTGCAAAGTACATCCTGGTGCTGTTGTTTTTGCTATATTAGCAGCAATGTCAATACAAGGTTCAGCAAATCTACAAACCCAGTGGAATATTGTAGGAGAGTTCAGCAATTTGCCACAAGAAGAACTTATAGAATGGATCAAATACAGTACTAAACCAGGTAAAACAAAACAAAACAAAGTCATTATTTACCTAGTATTTTCCCCACAATTTTATATATCACTGCAAAATCTTAAACCCAAGTTACTTCCAATGATCTTACTCTTTCGAAGCAATGCTGTCTCTAGAATATCCAAAAAAATAAATAAAAAGAAGATATCAATCCTACTTAAATAGTTTATAGGGTAATTGTTATACATATTTTCTTAGTGATTCTATTTTTGATAAATTTTAATTCAAAATTTATCCTAAGTTATTAATGCCACATTTAAAAATAATTTTATGCTTATTTTCTTAAGGAATTTTTAATATTATTCCTTCTTGCAGTTAACTCATAGAATGTGATATTTTATTCCTGTATAGAAGGAAAGACTTTGTTGTCATCTGAGTCTTCCAGAATTCCTTGGTGATATATAAAAAGCTTTTCTAGTCAGTTTGATACTTTTTTCTGAGAATCAGGAAAGATTTCTAAGATATTAAAAGAAGAAGAAAGAAAAAAGTCCTCAGTGATGAGATGATGAAGCTCAGTTCTCCAAGGAAAGAGTCTGCTAGCCCATTTACTGACTACCACTTCATCAGCCATCCATCCTACTTCATTCTGGTTCTGCCATTGAATCACGAAGTCATGAGCCTCACTGGGCCCCTTCCCTGTCTACTGTGACATACCTGAGTTTAACTAAGAAGGAGACCTTTCTCATATTCACCATATGTCTTCCTAAGACCTTCTTCTTGCCTTCCAGATGCAGTGTTTGCCGGTGCCATGCCCACGATGGCAAGTGTTAAGCTCTCTGCGCTTCGGCCTGTAGTGAATCATCCGCATTATGAAGATGCAGGCTTGAGGTCAGTACACAATTTTACATGTCCAAAATAAATTTTCTGTACAGTGAGTGAGGAAACCAGCAAAATAACAAGGCGTGCCTCAAAAAGGCTATGATGTCTTGGGATTTATAGAGTCAAGGAAGAAGGAGGCTGAAATGAGACTGCTAAGCTAGAAACAAAACTGTTAAGACTGCACAGAACCATAAAACTATTAATACAACCTTTGGGGCTATCTTCTCTACCAGGCAGACAAAAGAAATCATACTATATCAATTTCCATACTATATCATACAGGTTGACAGGGCCCCAGAATTTCCAGATCTTTGTTAGTCACCATCCTAAGTTCCCCTGAAGATTCATTAGCTTATAGTGTTTAAGGTTCTTCTGTAGGCGGTTTTTCTTGAATTCTAAGGAGTCATTTGAAATAGAATCCCATTCACACAGGGTTTTATTCTGGTTTTCACCAATGTAGCCTGCTAAAATGATCTGGAGTGTTTTTTGTTTTGGGGGTTTTTTTGAGGCACTCTATTTTTTCATAATTTAGAGCTTTGTGTTCTCTTAGAAATAAAAATAAATTTAATTTTCATGCAATTTCTAGGGTAGGTGAAGCTATTCATTTCCTAAGTGATTAGGTGAATCCTATTAGTATATTCTTTTGCATAACAGTGGGGATATACATTTTATAAACAAAAAGCTTTTTCATTAAAAAATCAATTTCACAAGCTAATTTCTAGAGTACTTATGTTGAATATGTTTAGTTTTTCTAAAATCTTTAATAGAAATAAAACAGAGGACTATTTAATGTGAATTATTGTTGTTGAAGTTGGGATGGTTATGGCTTCAGAGTCATCCTGTAGTTGTGTTCATGGTGGTTCATCCCTGTTCACACACACCGGGCACCTGACTCTTACATGTGATAGAGTGGTGAAGAATTTAAAAACAAAAACAAATGAACAATCGAAAATAAGACTAAGTTTGGAAATATATGGATGTATTGACACTCTACCTCTTCTCTCAGGACTATATGCTACTTATGCCTTCTGCTTTTGACCTCACAAATGCCCCTTAGTAATCCCTGTGAGGAATTTTCTTTTGACCTCATTCTTCCATATAGTCTTTCTTCTAGTCCCATTCAGTGCTTTCTTCCAAATATGTTGATTATATCCTTTTAATCTTGAAAATTTTCTGCCCAATTATTTTTCTTTGAAGAGCCAGAACAAAAATAGTATACTCAATGTATAGTCGAAAAGCAGCTGAAGAAGTGAAGCAAGAATTAATAAAATTAAAAGTGAATTATTACATTCTAGAAGAGTCATGGTGTATAAGAAGATCCAAGTGAGTATTCAACATAGTTTATATTTTATAATCATAAGACATGAAAAGTTAATCCATGCTCATGGCAAGTACTTTGTTGATGGTATGTGTGAGTTAGAGATACACATACACACACGCGTGCACATACACAACATTTTGCAAAGTATGAGTAGAAAAAACTTTTTAGGTAATTACTTGGAGTTTTTTTCTTGTCTTGTTACAAGCATGTTTGTTTTCTAATGATTTGCATTTGTGTACCACTAAAGAGATGATATTGACACTGATTGATAATCTCCCAAATTGTCCATATTTGCCTGTGATGTTTTAAAAAAACTTTTATTTAAAGTTGAGTGTGTTTTATTTCAGAAGACTTCCTGAGTCTGAAACCAAATAATGGGGAGTCTCATTGTAGTGAAGCCCAGCACGAATTGTCCATCCCAAGTCTCTGCCCCACACCATGTCCTGCGGGTGGATGGGCACCCTGTCATCATTGACTTAGAATGAAACTTTTCTTTCTTGGTGTTTTCACATCTTATTTGAACGGGAAAATAATTAACTTTACTGTGACATACATTTTCTTAGATTTTTAGTTTTAGAAATTTCTGTTTCCACAGAGAAATTCACTAAACAGAGTGTTAGTAAGATCTTGAAAGCAAGTGTGAATCTAAAGTTAACTATCTAGAAATGCTGTGCCTAGGTGACCAGACAGCAAATGCGAGTAGCCTACTATTAGTACCAAAGCATTCCCTCCATGAAGAGCATAGCACATGGGCAGTTCCAGAAATCAAGGGTATTTTACAGAATACTATTATTTTTAAAATTCTCTCCTTAACAGAAGCCTTCAGAAGATTGCTATATCTGTGGCTTGCTCATACGTGTCCACCATGTATTTCAATGGTACACAAGGGTGTTAAGACAAAATTGTAAAACACTGACTCATGAGTGAAAATAGTTCTGTGACATAGTATCTACACAGCATTGCCCACAAAGGAACTAAAATAATTGTTGGTTGTTGAATGATTTTCTTATGAATATGTGCCAAGTGACTTGAATTCAATCGGTATTTATAGAAAATGTTATATTCTCATAATTTAGAAAATGCTTTAAGTATTTGTGAACATATGAATATATATGAAATCCACATACTCACTTTGAACTGTTATATAAATTTAGGACAAAAAAGTTACAGGCATTTCTCATAAAAATTTCATGAGGACATTATAGTAAATGAATGATGAGCTGACATTTGCAGGAAAAATGTAGTTTCTTGGCAGAGCTTTCTACCAGAATTGGGACCCTCTTTATTTCCTTGGGCTTTGCTCTCTCAAGACTGTTAGGGCAGCCTTGAATCTCCCAATTTTCTAATAACAGCTAAAGATTAATTCTGAACTCTCCCTACTCTTTGCTGTCTCTCTCCCAAAATAGCAGGCAACCTGCTGGGACTCCGTTTTCACAAACCTCTAAAAGAGCCCAGGAAAGAAATGGGGATCTTTTCTCTTTACATTTCCCTAGCTCACAGCTTTTAGAATTTGTTTTATAGCCTCTAGGTGTTCCTGAAAAGTTCCCAGATAGACTGCAGGGGGGTAAACTCCAGGCCTTTGTTTCCTGCCCAAAACCGAATCTCAGGGCCAAAGATCACATCCCTTGCAATAGGCCTGACTGCATTTCAAAGATGACCAAATCTCCAGAACAGAAAAACACTGAAAGACAGTGACACTGCTTCCTAATTGTTTTGATTTTTCCTATACCTTACCCTTCCTTTTCTTACATGTATATAATAAAAAGGGTAGAATGTTAGGTTTGTTCCAGGTGGGAACCCAAAAAGTATGTATAGGACAGAATGTTTAATACAAAACATAGGCTTGTAAAACAATAGCTGCACGAGTCTGGAGAGTTCAGAGGTTGTAAATCTGATAGCTACAGGCAGCATCCCCCCACCCCCAGAGATGGAGGGAAGGATTGAAGTCCTTCCCTCCATCTCTCTCCTGATAAGGACACCAGAGCTGAAGGATGGATGTTACTGGGTCCGGGATCCTAAGAGCTGGTTGTTTGAAAAAGAATTTATTACAAGTGGCTGTTCTGGCCCACTTCTCCGGAGAAACTCTCTATAAAACCCAATGCTCTCCCCTTTTCTCTTGTGGATGCTTTTTCGCTTCCACCCATCTGCTCCCAGATGCTCAAAATAAACAGCATTTTGCTACACATGCTACACATGAGGCTTCCTGTGTCTGTCTCTCTCGGCTCCAGACCTAACACAGACACCTGTATGTTACTGGAACATAAAAATAATTTTAATAACCTTTTTTGTCCAAGCTGAAAACGAACCTTGATTCAAGATTCTTCGTTTTTTTCTATATCTTTGCATGGTGTTTTGAAGATGAAAATTGCAGAGGCTTTGTTTTGTACATTATTGGTAGAGCTCCTTGCATTTGCATAACTGTAGTAGTCTCATGTTCTGATAGAGCACTGTTATATGTACTCAAGATGGGATATAAAGGCAAATTTAGAAGTATGTGGCAATAAATCTTGCACACTAAATAAAACCAGTGACCATTTAACTGACTCCAGATCACTTCCATTTAGAGCTCACTTCCCGGCACTCAGGCTGAGAGTTAGAGTCCGGAGCAGGTGTGTGCTTGATTTCCCCATCTGGGCGTTGGCTTGCCATTGTTGTGTCTGTTGAAGCAGGAGTTGAGAGGGAGAAAGCTAAGAAAGTGACTCTTTCTCATCTGTTTTCCTCACTCGTTAATTAAAGCAACACTCTCCATCTACCCCAAGATTTAAGCCAGACTGACAACAGCTGTTAGGAAACCTTGGACAGGTCCGTTCTGCTTCAGTCTTGACACAAAACAAAAGCTGTGCTTTCTGTTCTGACAAGGAAGCAAATAGAGAGCTCAGACCGGAGAGGAAAGGAAGAGGGAGTAATATTTATCTAGTGTTTACATTTATAGTAGGAAAAACTGAGTTTCTTGACAGAGAGCTTTCTACCAGAATTGGGATCGTCTCTGTTGCCTTGGCTTTCACTCTCCAATTCAGTAATGCCAGCTTGAAACACCTGTAGGTTACTAGAACATAAAAATATCTCACAACAGGGGAAGCAAATGGGGAACTAAGGAGAAGAAAGGGAAGAGGGACCAATATTTATCTAGTGCTTAATCTATGCCTGCCATATTGGTGAGCACTATATTTATATGACCTCAATTACAAGTGGCTTAATTGTGTGGCTTGATTATTCTTTAAATACTTGACACTCTGTGTTCAAATACAAGCTAAATATATTTGAATGCAAGTTCTAGATAAGTTTTTAATTACTTCTTCATTCTTAGTTCTCTGCTTTCCTTTATTAATTCTAATAATAGAGTTGACATAAAATTAAAATACATGCATTCAGAAGAAAACCATTCAGATTTTCACTAATGCTATTTGAAGATGTAGCTGGCTGTCCTGGAGAGACCTTTGGAACTCAGATAAGGACTAACGGGTATTGCACCAGGCAGACAGAGCTCACAAAGGCAGCTCCTTGCCCTCTCTCTTTCCTAAAAGCTACTGAACTTAGGAAAACTGGGTAGTTTTCTACTTCCTGTGTCTCATTCTCCACTACCACTGGCCCTTGGTGTTGTAACAGTTCAGCCTTGATACGTGGGAGAAAATTAAAAGGTAGAAATCCCAAGCCTATCCATGTTATCATAGGTGGAATGTTGGTAGAAGGGTGTGCAAAAAGTGCACCTGAACCCTCTTCGTGGGAACACTCATTGGCAAAATCTTGCTAGGTGATAATTTGATGGAGTCAAAGTGAAAAATCGTGTGGTCCTTTGACAGAGGGAAGGACAGCTTACAGAACAGACATAAGCACAGAAATGTTTACAGCAACATTGTTTTATAATGGCAAAATGGGAAATAATTAAAATATCCATCTGTAAAGAATTAAATAATACATGAGTACTAGCAGCTATTAAAAAGAATAAAGTAGGTCTTTATGTACTGAGGTAGAAAAATGGCCACATTTTATTAAGAGTCTCAGAATAAATTTTTGTAAAAACAACCCAAGAGCATCCATGTCCATGTCTATATTTGTGTGTGTATGTGTCTGAACATGGATAAAACAGGTCTAGTAGGGTATATGCTGTATTGTTTATAGAAATCACCTCTGTGAAATGGCATTGGAGATGATAGTGACTTTCATTTTTTTTTTTACTTTGCTTAGATCTGTATTTTGAAACTTTTATAATGACTGATTACTTTTAAATTAAAGATTTTATTTAAAAAGGGAAAGCAACGTACATTCCTGCCACCGTGCTTGCCACGTGGTAGGGAGTATTGGGTGGGTGGGACTCCCACTAAGGATAAAGGGGACTTGCTGAAAATGTTCTAGTAACCTACAGGTGCTTCAAGCTGCCATTACTGAATTGGAGGCAACTGAATTGAAAGCCAAGGCAACAGAGAAGATCCCAATTCTGGTTTTTCTCTCTTATTAAAAAAAAAAAAGTGTGGCCAGGCGTGGTGGCTCATGCCTGTAATCCTAGTACTCTGGGAGGCCGAGGCAGGTGCATAGCTCAAGGTCAGGAGTTCAAAACCAACCTAAGCAAGAGCGAGACCCCATCTCTACTAAAAAATAGAAACAAATTAATTGGACAACTAAAAATATATAGAAAAAATTAGCCAGGCATGGTGGTGCATGCCTGTAGTCCCAGCTACTCAGGAGGCTGAGGCAGAAGGATTGCTTGAGCCCAGGAGTTTGAGGTTGCTGTGAGCTAGGCTGACACCACGGCACTCTAGCCTGGGCAACAGAGTGAGACTCTGTCTCAAAAAAATAATAAATAAATAAAAAACAATAATACATCATAAATAATAAATAAATATAAATGTGAGAAATGACAAAACACAAGGAGTTGTCAGTTCTCTATATCTCTATAATATTCATGTTTTTCTGTTTTTTAAAATTGAAAAGGCAAATAAAGTATGAACTTCTAGCAAAATCAACATTATATCTATAAAACTGTTTTTGATTTAAAATAAATGTTACAGTTAGTTTGAAGGCCTTATTTGGCACATGTCACATTGATACTGATTTTATATACCTTTTTTAAATATATATTGCTTTTAAGATTTAATTATGCATTTAGCTAACATGTACAGTTAATGCTACCATATTTCTTTAAATTGACTTATTTAGAATGGTGACACTGACTTAGGATGTTTCAACTTAATAATATTTTTGACTTTACAATTGTATGAAAGCGCTACGCATTCAGTTGAAACCGTATTTCAAGTGCCATTTGTTTTTCTTTCTGTATTGTATTCAGTAAATCATATGAGATACTAACATTTTGTTATATAATAGGCTTTATATTAGATGATTTTGCCTAACTGTAGGCTAATATAAGTGTTTCTAGCATATTTAAGGTAAGCTTGGCTAAGCTGTGGTGTTTAGTAATTGGGGCATATTAAATGCATTTTCAACTTACAAATTTCAACTTACAATGACTTTATTGAGATGTAACCCCATTGTAAGCCAGAGCATCTGTATAATTAATGCAGCTTTCCTCTGAACTAAGCAAATTTGCTAGTTATAATTTTAAAATCAATATTATACTTTTTGTGTTGTTGGCGATGGTATGATACCTGATCTCTCTTAATCCTCACAACAACACTATGCCATGAGTGTGTATTTCCCATTTCACAAATGTGAAAACAGGCTGAGTGAAGCTAATCCCCAACACACATGCTGGTAAGTAGCTAAGGCAGAATTTATCCAAGGTGTTTCTTCGCCCTAACACCTGAGTGCATGTATTCTGCTGGTCTGTTTCTGTGTTTGTGGTCACCTTTGCTATATTCCCTTTGCCCTACAGTGAGTCAGGGCAACTTAAAGCCACCATGGTAGGGTGTTTTGTTAAATTAAGTCGTTTTACACCAGAAAAAGAAATGAGGTCAGGATAAATCAGTGCTCTGATTTATCTGCCATTATATATCATGCATTGATTTTTAATGTGTACTTTAATTTTTCTAGGCCTGGTTGCAGTATGCCTGAAATTTGGGATGTGGAAGATCCTGCTAATGCTGGGAAACTCCCTTATGTAACCTCTTGGTGAAGGAGTCCAAGCCTCACTTCACCACTGTATTCCAGAACAGTGTTTACAAAGTCCTAGAAGTTGTGAAAGAATGACTGCTACATGAACTGCTGCCTACAGAGAACTGCATCAGTAATTGTTTTAATGTTTTGCTAATAAGTCATGTGTTGTTTTAATTCAATCCCAAAAACTTTTGTAGGAACTGTTTTCAAATAGCAAATGTTTTAATTGGTCAATTTGAATGTTATTCTAATTGTAAAAATGACTTATACTTTTATCATTTGGTTACTGTTTTAGTGTACCCCCCTTAAAATTGCTATGCAAATGAGTATATGTTGTACTTGACTTGAATATTTGTGCTAAAGTGGGCAAACCTACACTGTATGAAAAATATGATGGGTCGTGACAAGGATGATATGAAAATATAGGTCAATTCTGAACTATGTAGGGGCTGATTTTATAGTTTAGAGACATTAATGCCCTTGGTCTTTTTTTCTGCCTCTTGCTCTTGTCTTTTGGACATTTCAGTGGTTATTATGAGATCTTCAGTTATGTCAGCCTTTGTCATCAACTTGAGTCATAGTAGATGGGTAGATGTGGGTATTTGCTATGTAGAATTATCTGTTTATTCCACTTCCTTGTATTCTTTTTGTCTCTGTTGCTCTTGTTAATGAAGACTTTCCTGCCATTATTAATCCAAACTCTTGGACCTAGTGGTTAGGCCAAATTCCTTTTACTGTCTGACAATGTGGCATTATGATGTCTTTCGTACTTTCCCCACATTCTCCTTCCCAAATTTTTGTCGATAAGTACTATTACTCATTTAGTTGCTTATCAAGTACTTATTTTGGTTTAAAAATTTAATGTTAACTGTGTTATTTTTCTCATTTTTAGCATTATTCAATGTTTATATTTTAATACCTTTAAAGTACTTTAAATTTTTCATGTTTAATTGTAGTTTGAAGAAAACTATTTTGAACAACCCCAATATAATGCATCTAGAAACTAATGTATATTTGAGCAGACATAATTTATGTGGAACAGTAGCTGTAGTATATGGTAATTTCCTTTTACTATTAGATACAATAAACCATGACTAATTTTTTGTCAAAAGAGTAAATGAATAGTGATAAACAGATGGATTTTATATTTTACTTTTAAGATTGCCTGTCTTTAATAGACAAAGCCTTAAGCCTATTTAAATTTCGGTTCTAAAAACTATTATTTCTGTATGGAATGAGTATATTCAGTCTTTTCCTCCTATTTATTTTTATTTTGAAAAATTTCCAAACCTACTTTGAATTTCTTATATGAACCTTATTTTTTAGAGGTTAATTGTGTGAAATGAGATTCTTCAAAACGGTGAATCCTCATAGTTCTGAGAAATGGTTAAGGTTTTAAATACTAAGCAAACCGTGCTATGGCTAACTACACATTTAATTATACAGTGTTCTCTTTATTAACCACAGGCAGATTAACCTCATTGTGGATTGTCCTTGAGACCTGAGTCCTCAGGGATGGTTTCCGGTGCCCACTCCTGGGAGCCACTGAAGAGCTGTTTTCTTTCTGCCTTTTACCAGAGCCAAAGGACATGCCTAAGTCTGGGGAGCGCTAGCTTGCTTATGTTAGTCAGCTGCCACACAGCACATCTGCTGAGGACTGTGCCCTCGGTGGGGCACCAGCCCACCTGCCCCAGAGCCCAGAGCCAGCATCGCCCAGGGAGTCTCCTTCCCGGAGCAGCCCAGGAGATTGAGTCCTGTCAGTGTTCTCCGATTGTGGATTTGTGGTCACTCTTTCTCATTTGCTAGTTGACTGTTTTATTTCGTAGGCTTTTGAATATTTAAAAAAATATGGAAGCAGCTGGGGATCTGCGGATTAGGAGTAACATTTGAGCAGCGATGCAGCAATCCAGAAAGTGGGAAGAGGGACTTGAGGCGGGAATGTGAGAGTGGACGTGGGGGGAAGAGGGAGGTGTGCTCTGCCTTCCCTGCGATTGCTTCTCGCTGAAGTATGACTGATTTTGTACATTCAGCAGTTAGAGTCTTTTTAACCATACTTTTAAAGTGATTCTCTATTTTTCTCACCCTCCAATAATTCCTTTCAAGTAAGTTCTCATGTAATGATTAGAAAGTCATACAGGAGAAAACATTAAAATACTGTTAAAACTGTTTCATACGCTGGAAACATTTAAAAAGTAGTCTGGAATTAGCTTTTTCCAGGAGAATCATTTTGTAACAGTATTTGTTAATGTAACTCCACCAGCAAGCTATGATTATATTTAGGTGTGGTCCGTTAGAACAGAGGCCTGAGGGTACACTCCACTCAGCTTTGCCCACAGTCGCAGCCGGTGCTGTAGAGCATAAATAGCACTTAGGCAAGCGTAGTAGTAGTAGGTTCCATATACTGACAAAACAGTATTAAAGCTCAGTATTTTACATATTTTTAGCATTCAAATATGTTTGCTTTAGTGTGAGGAAGTACGGATGGACCAAGGAGGTGATAGAAGTAGCTATTGCCGTGACATTTAAAAAAAAAGTTTGGCAGTATTTCTATGATAAGCCTCTAAAAATGCTTGACAGAAAAAGTATAGAGTTAAAATAAGCCAGTGATATTAAAGAGAAAATGAAGGTATATCAGGAATAAAGTGATATTGCATAGGAGTATTGTATTTTATGAATTTTATGCCAGTTGTTACATGTACTATATATGTTAATAAAAAAGATCATGAAAAATGTGGAAAGTTTTTCTTGATTGTATTTTCATTCCACCTTGACTGTGAAAATGTTGGGCCTCATTTTATAGGCAGCCATATACTGCCTTGAGTCAGATTGCAGTCCTGAACAGGGAAGGACTGTAACAGTGGGATCTGGGAGACTTCTTGGTCTTTTTGTTAGTGGCGGAGGTGCTGGGATTATCCAGACTTTTCTTATATTTATGGTAGAGTCACCACTACTTATCCTTTCCTTCAAGGGAAGCAATAATTCCTTAAAGCTATATGTGGGGATAATTACAGAGTTGCTGAAGCCTTTTTTCATACATTAAACCACACACATTTGGTGTCATAAATTCTAAATTGTAGCTCCATGTTATTTCTTGATATACAAAACTAGCTTATTGTTCTGCCTCTGTGGAGGGAGCAGTTTAGCCGTGTTCATTCCTGTGTAATTAATTTCTTAACACAGTGACACACTGATTCTCACATCTTTGGGATGAGGTGTTCTAACACGGTGTTTCTCAAAATTAGCAGGCATCAGAATTCCTCGGATGTCTATAGATTGCTGGCCCAGCACAGAGGTTCTGATGTCGTTGGCCAAAGGCAGGGCTGCAGAATCTGCATTCTTGCCAGTTCTCGGGTAGTGCTGGTGGTCAGTGCAGGGATCATACTTGAGAACCGTGCTCTAACGCGTGAGAACAGACTGGAAAACTGGCCTGCAGGGGCGCACCATCTGACAGCACATCCCCACAGGGCCTGTAGATGTCCTTTGCCAGAGCAGAATTTTATGAAGCCCTTCTTTGTCTCTTAGGGCATTTCAATAAATCGCAAGGAGCAAAGAAGTAGATAGGGTAATTTTTTATTCAAAACATTAAGGAGTACAAATGTTTAGGTTACAGGATCATTTGTGTATATGTTGAGCCTTGGCTATAGGTGTGCCCATCACCAAACAGTGTTCATATACCCATTACATTGGTTTAGTCCCTCCCTGCCACCTCCAGTTGCTTTCCACTGAGTTTTACTTTGTGCACTTGAGTGCAGCTGGTTGTTCCAATTTGATAGTGAGTGCATGTGTTTGTTTTTCCATTCTTGTGATACTTGGGAGGATGGTCTCCACATCCATCCGGATTGTTGCAAAGGTAATACGTCATGGATTTTTGTGGCTGAGTACATGGGTACCGGTACCACATTTATTAATCCACTCATGTGATAGGTACTCAGGGTGACTCCACATCTTTGCAATTGTGAATTGTGCTGCAATAAACCTTTGAGTGCAAGTGTTTTTTGATAAAATTTACCGAAAGCTCGGCACTTGTCCACCGAGCCAAATCAGAAGTAGTTGAAGGAAGGAAGAGATTTATTACTTTGCCAGCAAAAGAGGAAAAAGGTAGACCTGTCCTCCCAAATCCATTTTCCCCATCAATCGCAGAAATGCAGAGCTTTAAAGGGAGGGCCTCCTCAGTTCTAGGCTATTAGTAGTTAACATTCTAATGGTTCTCTCTGCCAAAGACAATGCCAAGCCAGACCACACCAGAGGCTGACACCACCTGGGATAAGAACAAAAGAACTCTCCCTGCCCTTCCCCACCACTGGCCTGAGGCAGTGATGGCAGTTTCAGTTTCAAAAAGGGTAGGTAAGTTTCAAAGAGAAAATATTTTTGCCGATTTTTTTCTTTCAGGCATTCCCTTACATATACCCCACTCAATTTTAGGCTTCCATACTTATAGGGGCAGGGCGATCTACTCTATTACAAAATGACTTCTTTTCCTTGGACAGGCGTCCTCAAACTTACGGTCTGCGGGCCACATGCGGCACCAGAATTTATCGGCCTCCGGGTGTTATGCCGCTGCTTGCCTGTCTTAGAGCCACTCCTCCCGGGCGACCCACAGTGCGCATTCTCCAACATCTGAGGGACAGTGAACTAGTCCTTTAAAATTGAGACCCCTGCTTGGATAAATCCCACGATAGGGTAAATTTTTAAGAGAACAACTATTATGTGTTTAGGAATCATTTAAATATTTTGAAGCTGTAAACTGAACTTTTTTTTCAGTCAGACATAGAAAAGGTGAAAATCGTTTAAATGAACTTACTTTTGTAGCCATTACTTTGCTAGAAAAATGGATAATTCATGATGTGTGGAGATTTTTAAGATCTTTTCACTGTATTACATTTTGTTTTGGCCAGAGCCCTCAATCTTTCCATTAGAGGCAGCAGAGTCAGCACTGGGTCACAGGACTGCCTCTTCTCCTTCTTCTGCTTCCCTTTCGCTGCCCCCAACTAGAAGTTTCTAATTAAGATCAATAAAATTGTCTCAATGAAAAAAGAGACACTTTAAACTCACACTCCTGGAATTGGTCTTATTTCAACATGTATCAGGCAGAATACATTTTACATTTGAATTGAAAAGATAATTAAAGTACAAAAGGTTTTGGAAACTTGCTTTTACATTTCTCTCATGAGAGATTTTTAAACTCTGAATGAATTAACAGTTGAAGGACTTTTCTCTAGAATTTGTCATTGTAGGCGAATAACTTAAGATTAGTTTTCCTTTTGCCAAGAGTTAGACAGCATTGATACTGCTTCTTGCTCAAACATGTTTTCTGATACTGCAATGTTCTTAACCAAATTCGTAATTATAAAGATGCACAGTGTTGTCAAATGACTTTCGAAATAAATGGTAGTACCTACCTAGTGTTCTTCACAGAAAGGTCTTTTAATGCAGCATATGGTCATTTCATTAATTTGTAAGTCGCTGGGTGTGTGTGTGTGTGCTGTATGCAAATTATATCTTGGAGTAAAAAGTTGATTTAGCAAATTTAGTCGTTCGTTCTGTTGTTATGCTGATTTCTTACAAGCTGTAGTTCTCCATTCTGAAAATATGAATAAATGACCAGTTGTCGTATTTTAATTAAGTAGTTTGGGCATCCATGATGAAAACTATTTTATAAAAAGATGCCTGCAGGTGAGTCAAGCTCAGCTTTCTTGCACAGGCTTCAATCTCTGTTCTGGTCCCTGGTGATGAACTGCTCTTCGGCCAACCCTCAGGTCTTAACTCTTGGCATCATCCCTTAAGTGACAGACTTCAGATTTGGAGTCCTCCCTCTTGCTTATGGAAATGCCCTTCTTCAGGTGTGAGAACAAATCAGCAATCTCCAGCCCCTCATGAGTAGATGAATGTAGCTTCTTCAAGATACCCACTCTGGCAGCTTAAATTCACTCTGCACATTTGGATTACTTTAGGGCCTGGAACTTGGCCCTCCCGGGAGAGAGTGTGGCCTGGATGAATTTTAACAATTAACCCAGGTGATCTATTGCCTTAACCTAACACTGTGGAGCCTGCCCTCCTGCTTCAACCTCTGCATGCACCCTTCCAGCTGGCCTGTCGGTGGGAGAGTGGTAAGCAGAGGTGTCTCATTGTACATACTCTTTTATTAGTTAACGATGGGGTTAATCTCATATTCTTTAATATGGGAGTAGTGTTGAGAGACTCAGGAAAAATTCTTTTTCAGCTACAGATATTGCCATGGAGGGGAGAAGGGTGGGGCGTGAGGCGTGCAGGGCCCACATAACCGTGATAGAATGTCAGGAGAAATGGGAATGTAGAGCACACGAGAGAAAAAAAAAAGAACAAAAGAGAATTACTTTAAAAATCACTTTGACAATTGTAATATGTGTGAAGGATCAGGTTTCTTCTCTTTGCAGTGCTTCTTTTTCTTTTTCTGGGAAACATTCTTTCTTTGCATCAGTATCTACCTTGGTGCAACTCAAATGTCACATCCTTGTCGAAGCCTTCCCTGACTGCCTACCTTCGGCTTGAGTGAACTGTCCCGAGTACCCTTGCTCACAAACCCAGC